GAGAGGAGAGAGAGGAGGAGTAAATAGGAAGGGAGGGTAGGGACCGAGAGGAAAGAGGAGGAGGTGGAGGGGATGGGAAAGAAAGATCCTTCACCTCCTCGAATCTGGAGATTGTTCTGGTTGACGTCATGCACGGTGAGCTGGGTTTCTGCTTGCATGTTCAAGATGAGACGAGGAAAGGACAAAGAAAAGTGAAGACAAAGACAATCAAGAAGGGGAGGAAGGGGAATGAGTTGAGGAGGGAGGAGAGAGGAGGGAGGAGAAGGGAGGAGGGAGGAGGAGTTACCTCCGGCTTCAGAACGCCATGTGGTTGTTGTGCATGATATCTTTGAGTTGCTGATGATAACCGCAGCAACGTCTTGCACATGAGAATTTGTCTGGAGGAGATTAGTCAAACGTCGTCATCACAATCATCATTGCTTTTGTCATAGCAATACATCCACCTCCCCTTCATCCCTGTCCTTACATTTCTATATTTTCCACCTTCACCACTTCCTCCTCCTCCTCCTCCTCCTCCTCCTCATAATCATTATCATCGCCACTGCACATTCACGCTCTCGTTCCAGCTCGCAGGACCTGGAAGCGGCAGAAGTAATGGTTCGACGCACAAGAGACGTCGGCGTAGCAGAACGACTCTCCTTCAATGAGGAGGCTGAGGGAGCAGAAAAGGTCAGGAGGGGGCAAGGCAGCAAGACAGTCATTCACTTATCCCCTCCCCCTGCGGACCCTCTCGACGAGCTAACGTTGACGAACTTGCTCTTGGCAAAGACGATCTGCAAGCAACTTTCAGCTCCCCCTCTTTCAACCAGCAGCTCTTCTTTCCTCCGTCGCTCCCCCGTAGAAATTCCCGTTGCTGTTGTGCAGCCGGACCTTGCCCGAGCGCCCAAGGTCCCACCAGAAAGCATCGCACCTGGCACGAACATCATCGATCCGTTCCTTCCTCCTTCTCATCAGACGATAACAGGCCGCCGCAACATCTCTCTCTCCTGCAGCCTCCCCATGTACAACTGACCTGATCTTGTCGTTGTCAACTTGTGCCGAGTTCGTGACATTGACCGCCGACAGGCTGTCGCCCTTGATATGCTCCCGCGCCCTCGTGCTCATCTGCCCCCTAACACAAAAGTCAACAAAGTCAGTCAAGGGAGTCAACAAAGTAAACAAAATGGACAAAGACAGAGTCAACAAAGTCACCTGCTCGCCTGTACCGCCGTGATGGTGAAGTTGACGGGGAGCTGCCATGCTGCTGGTAACGATCAGCGACATGTCATAAGAGCCTTCGGGGTTACTTGAGTCCACTTGGAGCGAGGAGACCAAGGTCACGTTCGCTGATCGATCAAAGTCACTTGCAAGGTGTTGACTTTAGAGGACCCTCACTCCCGCAGTACCCCACGTCCGTCACTTGATCCATCACAACCACCCCCGCAATCTGCCGAGTTCGTCAGGGTGGCTGCACAGAGCGGGGGGGGAGACCCACCAGCTGGAAGGCGAAGGAGAGCCCGGAGTAGAAAAGTTCTTGAGGAATGAGTGAGAGGTTGAAGGAACAAACGATGCGAGGGGGTGAGGAAGAGTACGAGGAGTAAGAGAGGTGGGAGGAGTAAGAGAGGTAGGAGGAGTAAGAGAGGTAGGAGGAGTAAGAGAGGTAGGAGGAGTAAGAGAGGTAGGAGGAGGAGAGGTAGAAGTAGGAGGAGGAGGAGGAGGGAGAGCGTAGGTGATGGTGATGGTGAAGGAGGAAGGAAAGGACACAGCGAGAAAAAAGGGAAACCCGAGCAGGGGATGATAGGGAGCATGCATCTTACCAACCCCAACCTCCCCAGGAGGGATGCTTTGCTGGAGCAGCTCCGAGATGCAGATCCAGCTCTCTGTGAGGGAATCATGGGAGGGAGTGAAGAGGAGTGGTGGAGGTACCTCCGTGAGACAAGACGCTTCCTTGAGCATGGAGCTGGTTGGAGAGTAAAACAATCTCGTCGTTGACGATGAGCTAGAGAGTGGGTGAGACAACGGCGACGAGGGACTTTGGTCACGATCACCCAGGAGGGAGGAGGAGAAGAAAATCGTTCATCGATGTTCAACCAACCTGTGATGTTGATGTGAGTCTGGAGTGGCGGGTTACGAGGTTGCCGCAGCTGACCTGCGCTGCTGCTGACGTTGTACCTCAACGACCTGACGATCTGGTCGGAGAGAAAGTCGCAAAAGACCTCCACGTTGCAGAAAGGAGCGCCGAAGATGAGGCTGGTTCCTGTTATGGTGACCTAACAAGTATTCGGTGAGTAATGACAGCAATTTGTCAGCGCCTTCAGATTGTGATGATGTGATGTTACAATGTTCACTTGTCAGAGTGCAAACTGAACCAACAGCAGTTCGGCAAGGAGCACACAACACACGCTGGAGACAATCTCATGGCGAGGAGCAGAGGGAGATAAAGGATGAATGTACGTCGTTACCAGCTCGAAATCCTTCACGTAGACCACGGATGGTAACGCGCTTTCAACGATGCCAACTCTGTCCACAGTCTGCTCGGCAGTCGATGTTCAGTTGGACAGCAAGGACAGAAGAAACATGTCAGGCACCAGAACTTGCGTCCTGAGCGATGAGTTTGCTAGCAGACACATCGACGGGTTGTTTGCATAACACACAGAGACGTTCTCCTGACAGAAGGGACAGACGCTGGTCGGTGGGAGGTCGCATTCGATCAAGTTGTCATTGATGACGGTCACTGCAGGCCGATAATGAGAGGATACAAGTCAGATCATACTGAAAGAGAGAACGGTAGAAGGAGGAGGGAGGAGGAAGGAGAGTAGAAGGAGAGGGAGGAGAGTAGAAGGAGAGTAGGAGAGGAAGAGGAAGGAGAGAAAGGGAGAGGGGAAGAATGAGGGAGGGATGAGGGGAAGGGGGTGGAGGGGAGTTTCAAAACTGAGGGGAAAGAGTGGGCAAGGTGGAAGAAGTTGGGAATTGGAGAGGAGAGGAAGAAGAGGTGGGAGGGATGGAGGAAGGAGGAGGATGAACGAGGGACGATAAGTTGCTGAGCACGATCTAAGAAGCGCACCGTTGCTGATCGACTGGCATGCGGCCGATGTCAGCACATTGACGCCAAAGTGCCTGCAGATGTATCGAGAGGTCGACGACGTGTTGAGACTTTGCCCTCTGAGGGAAAGTTTGGTCTGATCAGCGAGGGCTAAGACGGACTGGTCGAAGAGGATTGCTGTAGAGCATGGTACATGACAAGGACCCCGACGGGCAGGAAGTCAGTCACAGAGACAAAGAAAGAGAAGATGGAAAAGAGAAGGGCAAAGCAGGTGGATAAGGATGAGAGCAGGGAGAACAAGGAGGAGCACGAGAGAGACGAGGCTAGACACAGGGGGCAACAAGGGTGGGAGAAGGAGAGAGGAGGGAGGAGGGGAGAGGCGGAGGGAGGAGGAGGAGGGAGGAGGAGGAGGAGGATAATGATAACCTCGGAAAGAGAAGCCTTGTTCCCTTTTGTTCTTCAGCCCGATCTCCACGTCATCTCTCACCACTGAGAGCTTGACGTTCCTCTCCTTCCCATTCGAGTCCTGCACGTGGAAGGTGACGCGGTCGGGCAAGACGGCTGAAGCTGCGGCGGTCAAGACGTCTTCCTCTCCGATCATCCTGCGCGTTCACGGTTTCGTTCACGTTGAGTAGGAGGTGAATCAACGCGGAGAGAAAGACCTCAACGTGTAGAACTTGTTGACAAGAAAGTTGCCGAAGACCGTGATTTGAAAATCCCCTCTGTTTGAAATTCTTGTCAGAATCCTTGTCCTCTTCATCATCATCATCATCATCATCATCATCAGCATCATCATCAGCATCATCATCATCATCATCAGCATCATCATCATCATCATCATCATCATCATCATCAGCATCATCATCAGCATCATCATCATCGTAATCGTCGTCGTCATCATCATCGGATACAGCGACACAGGCTCAACAAATTAACAAAGTCATTTTGGCACTGACCCTGCAGGTCCGAAGGTCGTCGACGGCACCTCCCAGAAGTCTTGAGAGTATTGAAAGTCTGCGAAGATGAAAGCTGATCGAGCTTGTCAAGAGCCCATGTAAACTCTCAAGGTTCTCAGCAGACCGGAGGATGAAGCAGGCGAGTTTGCGATCAGCATGCTTACGTTTGCGACTCCGACTCCCGGCCAAAAAGGAATCTGTAGCTAAGGTGAGATAGATGTGGGAGGAGGAGGAGGAGGAGGAGGAGGAGGAGGAGCAGGAGCAGGAGCAGGAGGAGGAGGAGGAGGAGGAGGAGGAGGAGGAGGAGGAGGAGGAGGAGGAGGGAGAGAAACAATGGTGAGAGGGAGGAGGAGAGGGGGGAAGCTGGGAACAGAAAGAAGGACACAAGGAGGAGGATTGAGATGGAGGCATTTCTACCTGCACGGTAATGAGTTGAGGAGATATTCTTGTTCCTTGGAGGCATTTATAAGCTCGACAGCTTGACTGACAAGTGCAGGTCGGGTCCGCAATGGCTGCGTTGACCTCACTTGAGGTTCCGGCGAACACGAGCTGAAAGTTTCCGCCCTGTATCGCAGAACCGTCAGGGAGAAGTCGTCAAGAAAATTCTTGGATTCGATATTGTCAGTACGTTGCTCGCTACAGACGTCTTTTTACATCTTGAACAATCCTTTCCCTCCTCTTCCTCTTCTCTCCCCTTTCCTCTTCTCCTCCTTCTCCTCCTCCTTTCTTCCTGATGCTCCGCATTTCACTTGCTGCATAAGTTATTCCCTCACCAATGGATAAGCTCTTCCGATCACAGACAGGTATGATCCTCCTCCCAGCGGCCCGGTCGTGTTGGCCATCCTGATCGACGAGGGGAGGAAAGTGAAGACGAGCTTGCTCCCTGCACCTCAGTCAACCAGGACAACAAAGTTTGCTCGTGTTTCACAAATCAGTATCAGTATCAGTATCAGTATCAGTATCAGTATCAGTATCAGTCCATAATCACAATCCCGATCAGCGATCAGCAACCTATCCTCTATCTCACCGTTGGTCCTGTACAGCACCTCCTTCCCAGACATGACGATCGACACGTCCGACGTGCATCCTTCTCCCATCCAGTCCGGCGATGAGAGGACGACGTGCTGGGCGTCACGAGGTGTCTTGCCGTGCAGACTGACTATCTGCTCGTAGTCGCCACAGGCAAACTTGACAAGAAAAACATTCGAAGAGAAGAGCCCCCGTCCCTGAACGGAAGGTCAAGGAAGGTTCTACAAGTCAGGAGGTTGGTTGACAGTCACAACAAGAGAGTAGAAGACGTCTCAAAAAGTACATAAATGAGTGGGGAACGAAAGGGAACGGAACGGGGAGGGAGGCACGGATGGTAAAATCAGACTCTCGCAGCAGACGACAAGCAGGGACGTCGCTCACTGTGAGGGTGATGGAGGCTCCTCCTGCCGCTGGTCCCTGGGAGGGCGACAAGCTGATCACTTCAGCGGTGAAGGGGAGGAGGAAGGACGAATTCGAGTTGACTGCCAGATACTCTCCAGTGGATCGGGCGAGGACTCGTAGAGACGCAGCAGGGAAATCGACCGTCCACTCAGGGCTGGAGCAGCTGAGCAGCGTTCGGTTGATGTAGGAGGCTTCCTGCAAGACTGCATGCCCTTCCGCCGCAAACTCGCAGAGGTATTGCTCCAGCGGGCTGAAGCCGTGTCCTGCGATCCTGACGACCTCTGAAGAAAGACTAGTCACCGCCAGCAGCGTAGAGGAAGTAGGGAGACGAGGAGGTGGGACAAGGGAGTGCTGGTGGAGTAGAGGCGTCAGGAATGAAGAGGTGAGTGGAAGAGTAGAAGGCATGGAGAGGAGGAGGAGAATGAGGAGGAGGAGAAGGCAGTGGTGGTAGACAGGGGTAGATTAGGTAGGGAGTACTGGACGTGCCACTCTCCCTCACCTCCTCCCAGCACTGAAAGCTCAGTCCTATCGATGGACTCGCACTCGTGGATGAAGCTGAGGACAGCACGCGATCGCACGGGCTGCTGTGCATGGAGGAGATGAACGTCGACGAACCCCTGGGCATGCCGCCACGTCGGCATCTCGCACACGACCTGGTTGACGCTGAGCACGTCCAACGCCTGCGTCTCGATCTTCTCCTGCAGGCCCACGAACAGGCAGGTGTAGAGAGGAGCATGAGGGGACTGATAGCACAGGCTGCATGCCCCCGTGAAGGAGGGGTAGGCATCGAAGCCCGCCCCACCAACGTAATGGTCCTCTGTACTCCGTTGTACTTCCCAGAGGCCCCGGCGATGGAAGGGATGGTGGAGTTTATGAAAGCGTATGCGGAGACGAGCTCGAAGAAGTCATCCTTGTAGAGGGGAATGCCTGCCTTGCGCACTTCAAAGCTCATCTGCATGCCAGGAAGGTTCCACGAAGGGCTGTTGCATATCAGCATCGACCGCGAAGCAACACGAGCCGTCGACGTCCTGACCTCTGGCTCGTTGCAGAAGGTTGCAGGAGTTGTTGAGAAGGAGGAGCAGATGGTGAAGTCTGTTCGAAATGTGCACTCGTAGTCTCCAGCTCTGGAGACGAAGCCTGATCCGATGATTGTGATAGGTGCGGATAAAATGCATTGAAGCTGGGAACTGCGTCCACCAAGTCCGGCATCACAACATCAGTCCAGATTCCCTGGGAGATGCAAGGATGCACAAAGTTGGCTATCAGGGCACACGCTAGTCCCATGCTCGCAGCACAATGCACGCCCTTTCGCGGTGAACGCCAACAATGGCGTGGGCGTGATTTGCCCATCATGGTCGGCCTGTGAGGGAGGGAGGAAGTCTGGAGTGGAGAGAAAGAGGAGGACAAGGAGAGGAGAGGAGAGGAGAAGGAAGCATCTGCTTTCGTTATGCTGCTGCCCTCCTCCTCCTCGCGTCGCTCCATTCTTCTCGTCTTTACTTTGATGGACGTAGTCAAATACAACCCGCCTCAGAACATGGGGCAGAGGGGGGTAGGGGGTTTGGTAATACAGGGGTACTGTGTCCCTGGGGGTGGTGAACCTTGTCAAAATAGCTAACAATGGGAGGGTGGTTTACAGTACTTGGAGGGGTAGAGGTCAGAAAGGCGGGTGAGATGGTATTATAGTCAACATACACAGAAGGCCACGGGGTACTTTGGAGGTGCAACGAAGGGGTGGTACATAGCACCCCTACCCCTGAATTATGGTTATTGAATCCCTTAGGTCAAAGGGGTGGTGGTGTAGTTACAGTGGCTCAAGGACCGGTCCCTCCACCTAATGCAGAGGGAAAAGTTGTAGACCCTTCGGATAGGGGTAGAGTATTACTCATCGTTGCTTGGGGTGGGGGTGGCATGTAGCAGCAATCGCCCCGATGGTGGGTAGGGTATACATAAAAGGTCGGACACGAGGGGTCATAAAAAGGGAAAAGCAGGGGTGATGCAGATGATTCGGGGGTACAGGACACAATCTTCAGAGGGTAGTGGAACGGGTCAGAGGGTAGGAGCTCTAGAGGGTAGGGTAGTACAGTCACTAGGTAATGCCGAAGGTGGCAGGAGAAACAAAAATGGGCGAGAAGCGAGATGAAGGGACAGGAAGAGGGGAGGAAGGAGAGGCAGAGATATCAGGATGAGGAACAGATGGATGGTCAGGTTGAGGAGGTGGAGGATCGAGAAGATACAGGTTGAAACGGAGGAGATTTTGAAGGAAGCGCTGTGTGATTGAAGGGTATGTGGAGGATTCGCAGAGATACAGGAGGACGAGGCTTGGTAGAGATTGACTAGGCAGAAGTCGCTCTGAAGAAATCATAGAGCTTCTGAACTGCTTCGTACATTGTGAACGAAGCCACAGATAGAAGAATGCAAGCTTCCTGTGTTTCGCAAGTGGATTTATCAACAAAGAGGGATGCAGGAGTGCTTGGGATTGGGCAGAGATCCATGACGCCTTGCACGTAGAGATCCCATGCACACAGGATAGCTGATAGCAGATGATTAGTACAGACTGAGGAAGCGACGAGGTCAAGGTGACCGGACTTGGCAGACTAGACATGGGAGAGGTGGTCAAACTCAAGGGCGCTATATTCCGGGCAACGAACCCAGGGAGGGACGGGGAAGGCGATCCGACAGGTATGACGACGAGGAAGGAGGGAGGGGACGAATGCTGAGCCTTCTATGCAGCGATGGTTGAAATCAACCAGATTCTCCAGGAGCACCCCAACTTGTATTCCTCTCCGAATACGCTAGAGGAAGCATGCCGGCTGATTTTTGGGTCCAGAATCATGGAAGCTGTCAAGAACATCAAGGCTAGAGTCAAAGACAAGAGCCCGCAAGTATGAGGGGATTGGGTGGTCCTTGCATACCTGACAGTCTGCGACGCAGGTTTCTGTGGTGTCTCTGGACCTTCTAGATCAGTGCATGCAGGTCAATCTTGCCTCCGTGTGAAGTTGGAGCACTCAGCAGCATGGCAGAGCAACGGATTTCAGTTCCAAGTGTTGGTGATGAAGAAAGTTCTGTCCCGAGTCCTCAAGCTTGCGACGCCGGGGAAGGTGAAAGAGGAGGGCAGGGGGGCAGAGACTAAGGCTGATGACCGTGTAGGGAAACTATCCCAATGTGCAGCAGAAGGCTGCAGAGCTGATTCGAAGTTGGTCTCGGTACCCTTCTTGTTGCAAGGAGACGTGTTGAGATTGAGGTCTGGTGGCAGGCTGTACGGGACGGATGGGAGAATGAACGAATATGCTGCTTCTGCCAAAGAGCTGGCAAGATCTGGAAAGCTGCCAGGAGAATAGAGAGAGGGTTCTGACTGCCTGTGTGACAGAGGAGAAAGTACAGTTGCAGCAGAGGGCTATGCAGGATAGACAACAGGGCCTTCAACCTGTGAGTCTATTTGTGAGGGAGGGAGGGAGGGAGGGAGAGGAGAGGGACGGAGGGAGAGAGGGACGGAGGGACGGAGGCGAAGGAAAGGTAGCGACTGAACTGGTGAGAAAATGTTGCAGATGCGTCCAGGATTGAGCTCTTATCCGAATGCAACGAGGCCATCGAATATGGACGCGGGATATGGAGATGTGAGAGGCAGGGATGAGGCAAAAAACTTACCTGATGCTTTTTCTGCGTGACAGATGCGCGAGGACTTTTCCAACGGCAACTACGCTCCTGGGGCTGGATACAACGCAGATATCAATCTCAAGGTGAATGAATTGATGCTCCCCTCCATCTCTTCCCTTAGAAGCTGAAACGTCTCACCTGCTCCCGCCTGCATTTGGGTCGGAGCAGAAGGTCGATCTGGATCAGGGGAAGGAGTACCTTACGCTGCTGTCGTCGATGCTGACAGCAGAAGATGCGTCAAGCTTACACGGCAACGAGGTGAATACGGTAGAGAGCTGTCCAGGATCTTCTGACATGCCATCAGGCTCTGGCGGAAGTAGTAATGATGTGTAAAGCGTGTGTGGTTGCGATACAGAACCAAGTTGGAGAAATACAAGATGAGGTGAAGACAAGAATGGTGATTTTCACGAAATTTTCACATATATTCAGGCTCGGCTCATGCAATTCTTGACATTGAATGATCAAATCACGGAGAAGTTGAATGAATATGAAGATCTGCTAATGTCAGCCATGGTGCACGTGGTCTTCTGGTTGTGTTGAAGTTCCATCGCAGGGGGAAGAAGCGGCCAGACCAAGCGCAGCAGCATACATCTCCCACGGTCAGAATCTCAGCACCATCTCCTCACATCCTCCGTCCTGTCTTCTCCACCCCCTCCTCCATCATCACTTTCTGTTCCTCCTCCTGATCTCTGAAGATTTTTCCAGACGAACGCCGAGACTCCTGTCTTCCAGTCCCCCCTATCAGGTAAGTCACTCCCCTCCTCCTCTTGGAATGTTGACAAAACTCCTCCTTGTCCTCCTCATCCTCATTATTTTTAGCAGCGAGTTACGACGAGGACGAAGAGCTGCGACAGGCTCTGGCGGAGTCGACCAAGACAGCGGCGGAGGAGAAGGTGAAGGTGAGAAACATTTTCCTCTTCTAAGGGGATCGGACCTGACGTGCGCCCCAAGGCGTCGAAGAGAGAGGATATGAACGTGCTGGAGGTGAACGCGCCTACCTCTTTGCCACAGCCCAGCAGTGACCCCAGCTGCAGGAGCTGTTCGGGTCTCCGAAACCTCCTCCTCCTCCAACTCATCCCTTCAACTCGCCCCTGGGGTGCGCTCCCCGCCGCCCTGTAGGCCGTACGATTTTCCCGTGACACCTTGACAGGATGCCGCAAACTATCGCGAGTTCAAGCATGCATCCAAAGGAGGATGACATCTTCTCTTTAGGGCCGAGCGGGCAGGGACTGCACAATCATGGAAACGTGAGTTGCCTTCTCCTCCTCTCGGTTGCCTCCCTTGTTCTCACCCGTTGTGCAGTACTCGCAACCTCCTCCCCCTCCTTTTTCTCCTCCCCCTGCTGACAATCCCTACATGCCGCCCCCTGTGCCACAAGTCCCTGTAGTTCCATCATCTTCAGCATCAGTAGCACCCAAGGCCAACGCCTCGTTGATCGACGACTTGGTTTCTCTCGACCTGTCTGGCGCAACTCCTCCTCAGCCGCCTAACGCAGCTGCTAGTGTGCCGGCCATGGCGATGAACAGCGCACCTGATCCTTTCGCCTCGTCCTTCATGCAGCCGCCCAACTTCGCAGCAGGCAGCATGTCGCTCATGGGAGGCTTCGACGCTCCCGGGACTCACGTGGACTTGTCGGTCAGCGGTCAGTCGCCAGGTGCCACCTACGAGCAGATGTTCAATTGGCTTGTGCGGCTGGCTGTGAACAAGGAGGGGATCTTGTATGAAGACTCGTTTGTACAGATTGGAATCAAGTCGCAGTACTCCAAGAGCAACGGGAAGTTGGCGATCTTCGTGGGGAACAAGATGCCGCAGGAGATGACCAACTTCGCCATTCAGATCCATTTTTCGCAGGAGTTGTCGGGATCGGTCTCGAGCCACACCAACCAGATCGCAGCGAAGCAGCAGCTGCAGCTGACCACGTCCATGGCTTGCTCAAGGCCTTTCGTCAACCCCGTCGGCATGACGATCTCCTTCTCTTCCGCAGCCGAGCAGCGGGTCCTGTCGCTGAAGCTTCCTGTCTTCTCCTGCAAGTTCACGACGGCAGTGCAGCTGAGCAAGAGTGACTTCGACTCCAAGTTCGCCTCGTGCTCCTCCTGCGGTCAGTGTCAGACCATCAGCACCACCGAGAAGTGGATGAACGTGTCAACGCTCAAGGCGATGCTCAACAATGGGCTGCACATGGGGCTGGTGGCGGACTCGGCGGAGAACTCCATCCATGGCTGCGGCCTATTCGAGGGCAGCGGCGTGACATCAGAATGCTGCTTGCAGATGACGGCGAATCAGGTGAAGATGCGGTGAGATTGTGGGGTTGTGACTTGCATCCTAGGCGGAGAGGACGCTGACGATGACGGTGAATGCCAACGATGCGGTCTTGAGGTCTTTTTGTACTCCTTTCCTCTTCTCCCCTCACGGACGTCTCAGGGAGTCTGTAGAGCGTCTTCTACATATGCTGCTCGGGGCAAGCACAAAGGCACCAGGGTTCTAGGAACTTAACCTGCTGGATCGGAGAATTTCGACTCGTATGCCATGATGGCCCACCACTCACTGCCTGTATAGCGCGCTCATCTGTGCTCTAACCGCTCAGAACGTACGCGAGACGACGAGGGATGATTGAGAAATCACCCAGACGCTTTCGATAATCAAAGAATCGCATAAAACACTAGAAGACACGAGTGGTTTACTGCACCCTCATGCTCCTAGCTCCCAGAACAAGCAGCCCTCTACTCGATCTGTCCGCAGTCAGCAATCACAACCTCCTTGACCTGTGCGAAGCTTTCAGATCACACCCGACAGGCTTCAACAACGAGTACCGGGGCATCTCCTCGGCTGGTGGGGTTCGACTCGATCTTGGAAACGACGTCCATGCCGTCCACAACCTGCTCCGAGTTCACCCACAGAAGCGAATCGGCCGTAGCTCTTCGAACCTTGCCGAACACGCAATGACGTCCGTCCAGGTGAGGGGTTGGCACGGTGGTGATGAAGAACTGCGATCCGTTGGTGTCGGGCCCAGCGTTGGCCATGGAGAGAATGCCCGGGCCTAAAAAAAAAGGCTTGACTCAAAGAAGAGCTATCGGGTGCAGTAAAGTACCAGAGTGCTTGAACTTGTGGTTGAGGTTCTCGTCGGCGAACTTCTCACCATAGATCGACTCTCCTCCACGTCCGTCGCCTCTGGTGAAGTCTCCACCCTAAATGTCGTCAGCAACAACCACGACGCCGTTGACCTCGGATGGTCTGAGCACCTGGCACATGAAACCGGAGATCACTCGGTGGAACTTGCTCCCCTTGTAGTGAAGAGCCTTGCCAAGCTTGCCCATTCCTTTCTCTCCGGTACACAGGGAGCGGAAGTTCTCAGCAGTCTTCGGCTGTTCGAGATCACAACTCATCAGTAGTGCTGAGCACTGCAGCAGTCCACTCACCACTACATCCGCGAAGAGTTCCATCACAATCCTGCCTTCCGACTTGCCGCCGATGGTGATGTCAAAGAAGACCTCGGGGAATGTCAGAAAGGATACTGGGAGATCATTGAGGACGCTAACCTTCGGTCTCGGTCCTCCTCCACGGAGGCGCAGAGGGGAACTAGAGGCGAAGGCAGACTGCAACGAAGCCCTGGGCGCATGCAGGGTCAGAAGAGTAGGAGCCACTCGTTGGTCAACAAAACCTCGCCAATCGATCATTCTGGAGGGAGGAAGGCACCAGCGAGAAGCTTGATGCAGCAACCTGCAAGTTTGCTGGTCAAAGAAGAGGACTCAAGCCAGGACAAACACGCTGCAAGAGGTTTGTTGGATACCATCACAGACAACACGAGAAGCACGAGGAGAATGAAGAAACAACCACGAGAGAGCAGGGTTTGAGCCGTATGCACGGCCTCAGCAAACTGAATAGACTTCAAACCCCGAAGGAGAAGAGGTAGGAGGCGAAGAATGGGCGCAAGGAACCGTGTAAAAAATGGAAGTCCAAATCGAGAATGGAAGAAGAAAGCGGAGGAGGAGGAGGCATTGCAGGTATATGACGTCGAAATCAAGCAAGATGACAGAGGAGAGACTAGCCCGAGAAGAGGGGGCGTGGTTTGTTTTCAACAGAGCAAAACAGCGGATGTTACGTTATAGAATAGACATGGAGAGGGAAACATTTATGGTGAAGAGTAGTGAGAAGGTCAAAGTCGAGGGGGTTAAGGGAGAGCTGAGAATAGGAGGAGGAGAGAGGGGTAGAGGGAGGAGAGAGGAGCGGAGTAGAGGGAGGAGAGAGAGGAGAGGGGTAGAGAGAGAGGAGAGGGGTAGAGGGAGGAGGAAAGAGGGGGAGGGTAGAGAGAGAGGAGAGGGGTAGAGGGAGGAGGAAGAGAGAGGAGAGGGGTAGAGGGAGGAGGAGAGGAGAGGGGTAGAGGGAGGAAGAGAGGGGTAGAGGGAGGAGGAAGAGAGAGGAGAGGGGTAGAGGGAGGAGGAGGAGAGGGGTAGAGGGAGGAGAGAGGAGAGGGGTAGAGGGGCTGGATTCATGTTCTACCGCTTGAACCGCCGCCAGTAGCAGGAAGGCACGCATTGCAGAGGATCCGAGGGACGCAAGCGTAGTAGGGGTGGTGGGGTGGTAAGGAATCAAGGGGTGGGGTGAACTGTTGGGTGGGGGCCTCAGAGGGTATAACACAAAACTCTACATAGGGTGGGTACTCAACAGTACAAGTTAGGGGTATATGAAAACATGAGTGTCGAGGGTAGGTGCAAGTGGAGCACCTATGTTCAAGGGGGTGGGTAGTGGAGGGTGCTACCTGCGTTACATAGTGGTTACAAGTGCGTTTCATCGTTACAAAGCACAAAAAGCATATTACATTTATTTATATTATAAATATTGATAACTTATTTTTAGATTATCCTCCAGTAAATAAAAACACTTTTTGAGACTACAGTACAATTTCCTGTATTCATGGATGAAAAACCAATTTTAAGTCTACCACCCCCCCTATTTCTCTCTTTGCGTGTTGCTTGGACGCCACCTACCCATACAAATTCGACTACCCCCACGCCTTCAATCTTGAACTACCCTGGAAGTCCTCAAGTACCCCTACTTAGAAACGCTTTTCTCTAGGAAAAGTACCTGGTTCTTTCATCATACCACCCCCACAATTCTACCACTACCCTACCATATCAAATGATGTTTCATCAACTACCCTACCACCCCAGAACGAGTCTATTGAAACACAGTACCCGTTATTTAGAGCTCGCATGTACCGGTTACCTTGACCCACCCCCGCTGTCAACTGCAACAGTACCGCAACCCCTCCTCGCCTTCCGCATGGCTTTGAGGGCCACAAGCAGCCCATGCAGTTGCTTCCCCATATGACGATGCCACCTCCTCCTTCCCTCCTCCTCTCCTTCTCATGCAGATTTACTCTGAATCCTCACTCCCCAACATTCAACGCAGTGATCCTCAACCTCAATCTTATCCGTGGCTCCCTCCAAAGATCATATTCCCAATTAGTTTGTCATACCCCAACTACATGTTCTCCCCACATCTCTGCCCTCTCTGTTCTCCTCATCAACTGAAGCTGATAATGAGTGTTACATGTCTTCGTGTGCTGTGTTTTCATGCTTACGATCGTTTCTACTCCTTTCTCTCGTCATTTCCACCCTCGCGACCTCACGCTCTCTCAGGAAAGACTCCTGTGATGCAACCGAGCGCTCGTTGATTTCACATCGACAACATCTCTTTTGCTCTCCGATCTTGTAATCTCGATGCATGTTCTGGACTCTGTGATGTGTGGTTTGACTGTGACATGTTTTCTTCTGGAAGGGCCAAACCTAGCCTGCATTTCTGAGCATTTAGATGGCCCCGCCCCAATGTTTTGAACCAGTGATTGTGCGGTTGTTGTCCATCAATCGACAGATACGTTTTGAGCCCTTTGAGCCCTGACTGCTTCGTTCATCAGACATGTGGATCAAGCTCCCGTATATCTGCGCTTCCATCGCTGCGATGGCCTCTTTGGCTGATGCCTTTGCTCCTTCTACTGCTCTCCTGAGATCGAGAAGCAACATGCGGAGCCTCGCACGTGCTGGTCCGGCTGCAGTTCGCATCAGGGCGGCGAAGGAGCAGCCCGACCAGGTCATCGACTTCGGCAAGGTTGGCTTCTCGGATGCAGAGAATCAGGTGAGAGTTGCCCCTCGGACTGGCTCAACATGATGGAGCCTGCGCGCAGATGCGCAGTCTTGTCTTTCAACCCGAGGAGGGTGAGACCGAACCAGAGAGCAGGTGCCGTGTGAACTGGGACATCAAGCTTGAGCAGGTGTGGTTGTTGGTTCCCTGTGCTTGCAGTCAAGCTGACCTTTGGGCAAAATAGGCGCTCAATGACCATATCAACGTCGAGTACACAGCTTCGTATGCCTACCATGCTCTCTTCTCTTACTTCGATCGCGATACCGTAGCACTCAAAGGTTGCGGCGCAATGCAAGGCCTTCTTCCCTGACGCAAGGGCAGGATTTGCCAAATTCTTTGCGGACCAATCGCAGGAGGAAAGGGGACACGCTGAGCAGTTCATGAAGTAATGTGCTATCTCTGTGCCCGCGTCTGCGCTCATCTGTTGTCAGGTACCAGAACACTCGTGGTGGGAAAGTTGTTCTCAAGCCGGTCTGTCATCGACGTGGTGTTGATGACAACTGACGAAAATTTGCCAGCTGGCTGTCCCAGACATGCAGTTTAGCAGAGTCGACGGAACATCGGATGCTCTCTATGCGTTCGAGCTTGCTTTGATGGTACTGCACTACTCGCTACTCGTGTTGATCGACTTACATGGATTGGCAGCTTGAGAAGTTTGTTTATCGGAAATTGCTTGATCTGCACGCACTTGGTGCGGAGTGCGAGGATCCGTAAGTCTCTCAAAGTTCTGTCATGCGATCATCTTCACATGTTTTATATCCCTTCACATGTTCTATTTCTGCTTTTTCATCCCTTGTCTATCTGCCTTGATCTGTCGTTCTTACAGTCAGTTCTGCGACGAGATCGAAAACTATCTCGGGGATCAGGTAAATTTCTTGCATGGAAACCTCACCATATCAATGATTCTCGCTCTTCTATCCCTCTCTTGCTTGCTCTACAGCAGGATGAGACTAGACCGTGCAAAGTCTCTCGTGGCTCGCCCAGATCGAAGGTCTGATTGTGACTTGCAGGTGCGAGCGATCAAGACAATGGCGGAGTACGTCGCTCAGATCAAGCGTGTCGGTGAGAGGACAGGACATGAGGGTTGATCGCGAGTAACAGTTGGGGATCGCAGGAACTGGACACGGCGTGTGGGATCTGGACAAGAAGCTGGAGGAAGAGATGCAGGCAGCTGCCTAAAAGAATTGCGAGACGTAACGAGTACAGGCATGTGATGAGATGCTGCTCCACGATACCCATTCAAGCCTTCATTATCGCAAGTAGGACAATCTGACAAGTTCAGAGAGTCTACAAGTTCAGTTCTGAGTCCGCCGACCAAATTTCGATTCGCAACCGACTTCTCCATTTCTACCTAGAGTCTCTGTAGTCGCGATCCTTGTGCCTGGTCACATTCATCAGCTCCTTCCATGCACCTTGTCATCAGCCTGGACCCACCTGTCCCTTTCCTTAGAACGATCCCGCTCCCTAGACCCGTCCCTCTCTCTCGATCTGTCCCTGTTCCTGTCCCGGTCACGGTCATAGTCCCTGTAGTCGGCATGAGGAGAGTCGCTCATCGATCTTGTCAGCCACCTGTATCGGTCTCTGCGATCATCCCGTCGGTCCCTGCAGACCAGTTAAGGTGGAAGATAGAGAAAAGCAGACAAACCGGTCCCGATAGTCCCGGTGCCTATCTCGCTCGCGAGACCTTCACTCTCGTCAATTCCCTCCTGTAAGAGGAACCGCCTCAAACCTGTCTTTGCCGCGCTCGCGCGAACTGAGCAGGGAGAGTAAGAGGATCTATCGTTTTATAAGAGGTAAGTTACCGATCTCGGCGGTCTCTGTCATTGTCCCTCTCCTTCAACCAGAAATCTTTCACAACACGTGTTGGCTCGCATCAATAGCCTCACCCTTTCCTTCCTCTTCGGAGGAGGCGGCGGCGGCCCCTTTCCATCATGCATCGCCTACAAAAGAGTATTTAGAGTCTGACAAAACATGTTGAACACATATACCCTCAGCTCCTTGAGCTTTTCCCTGATTTGAGCCCAACCCTTCTTGCATGTCAGACAAGCATACTGCATGTACTTGACTTTGCCTGATGTTGCTTTCCAGCAAGATGCTCCGCCTTGCGAACCTATACATGCGAATCATGACAAGCTTGACGTCAAAGGATACTGTTGCTCACTTCACTGTCCGTATTGGCCATAAAGTTGCAGCAAATCTCGCACACTTCCATAACCTAGACCAGACTCACTTTCCTTTACCCTGGCGAAAAAATTTGCAATCACCTTCTCTTTGCCAGGAAATATTGGATTTTCAAGAGTCTCCTTCTGCTTGGTAAGCTCTTCCACTTCCTAGTTCACCAACACGAAATGAGTGACAAGGCCGTAGTGTGGAAGGAGAAAAATGATCTGGCTCACCCCCATTGCCTTCAAACTTCCATCTACTTCTCCTTCATCACCAAGCGCCTGAACGAGCAAGAAAGCAAGCGAGTCAGTCGTCATGCTTCGACGCGACATGCCTTCAATTAGTCAACCTGCGCCTTCTGGTGCAACTCCTTGATTTGCTGGGCGAGGGCATCAACCTTGGCGGACGTCTTGATCAGACTAGAGCGCAGCACAGGAAGAAGATCCTTTAGTACCTGAGCTTGCGTCTCCTTGCTAAGGTTGAACTTCTTGCCAGATTGTTCCTGAACGACGATTACAACTCACCCCAGATTATCAAGGCAATGTAAGCTCCATCAGCAATAATCCAGAACTTAGAGGTGAGGATTGAATCCATCGTCACTATTTACCTGTTTGAGTTTCTCTTGGTGTCTAACACAGAAAACAACAAGCTTCAGTTGTGTTGTCATACTGAGAGAAATCACACCTTCTGATTGACTTGTCCAAATCGGCAACAAGTTGCTCTAGGAACCTGTCGTGCAATTGAGCGCATGGTATCGAGGATCAAACCAGCATTATCACCGCATCAGTTCGTACTCGTATCCATATTTATCCTTCTCCTCTTGAGGCAACACGTCCCAGGCAGCTTTGGCGTCCTCATCCTAGACTCATCTCGTCAAACTCGAGCTCCCCATCTCTACTCTATGTACTTGCACTTTGTCCCACACTCCGAGATCAGAACGAGAGTTCTGCAGACATCATATCAGCAAACATGGTTCGCTGAGTGGTGCATCCAACCCTGAGGATCAAATGCGGGGAACAGCCGCAAATCCAATACTTGTCCACGTCATCGTCCCAGAAGTTTATTCTCCTGTTCGTGCGCTGGCGGAAGACGATGAGTAAGGAGATGAAATAGCTGTGGAGGTGAAGGGTGCGATAATAAAGATCTTCTCCAGAGCAACACAGATCATTGATTCCTATGGACCAACTTCCCAAGTGCTCGGAAGCCTGTGTATACAGCTTTCTGCCTTCGCACACTCATCACTTGATCATGCAAGGCAGGCTACTCAGCCATCCATGATCAACATTATCGCTGAGTGTTCAACAGCACAGCAAAATCCTAAGTGACTGCCCTTCCTTCCCAGGTTCGAGGGTACACCCAAACCAGCTACGAGACATGCTCACTCTGCCTGCTGGACAGTCCAACAGGAGAGGATCGGGACATGGAGGAGAGAGCATGGAGGGTCTCTGTTCTCTCACCTTCTCTACCGGCACATCTCGCTCCTTCCCCATCAGCGCGTCCAGCTGTGCCGCCAGCGCATCTTTCGCAGACTTCGACATCGCCGCGCCGCGACTTGACCACCCACCCAGACTTCTACCCCACCTGTCTTGACCCCCACCCCTGCAGTTTCCACCCCATCTGGAAACGATCAGTGTCTTTCCCCTGTTTCTTCCTTGAAATCCACCCCACTTTCTACAAGATAACCCCACCTTGGATAGCCACAGTACCCTACCCCTTTCAATAACCTATCACCCCCCACCCGCATGCTTTGGATCTGGACCCCCACCCCCCTTCATCAAGGAATCCTGATGGGACCCTACTTCGAGTTCTGGAATTCTTGAGAGGATTTTTACCGCAAGAACGTTGACAAAGACACAAGTCAAAAACTATATTATGTAATTTCAAATAAATAGATTAATTTTGAGAATTTAAAATTTAAACACCAAATTTTGGGAAATCATGACATTTTTATTGAAGGATCCACACTGGTCGTCCATCTTCCACACTTGTATACAATATACTTTTATGAATAAAATAATTTAGTTTATTTATAGAAACAATAATAATATAAATCACTTTATGGTACAAATTCACATCTTAAAATTGACTTGTTGCAACCTTTGAGGGGGCGGGTGGCGAGACCGGAATGATAGGTAGGTAGGTGTAGTGGTTGAAAGAGTAGGGTAGGGTGTTACGAGGACCCTTTTGGGGACTGGTATACATATAGTATTTGAGGGGTACAGTGATGTGTTCCATGGGGGTAGGTCAAGTTTAGAGGGGTAGTCAGGGCTTGTTTGGAACTAGTGTTGAGTAAACAATTTGTTGGGATTGCGACCAATGCGATTGTGGCGACCATGGCGGTTGAAGGACGAGGCGGCAAAGAAGGGAAGGGAGGAGGAGGAGGAGGAGGAATATGGGGGAGAGATTTCTTCACCTTCGGCCTTTACCAGGTCAGTGATGAGGCTGGAAGACGTGAGGTCTGTGGGATAGGACGTCCTGAGTTTGTCTTGCGTTCTTGTTCGATTCTTTGCTCGCACCTGGTGAGCTTGTTCACAGAGGAGTTCATGTCGAGCACGATCGAGCTGATGGAAAGTATCGAGGGCTTCCTGATGGTATCGTTGTTTTGTGTTCGAGCGGCTCCCTTAGACAGTTTCACGTCAGCATGGCGCAAGGCTCTGCCGCAGGAATGGGTAGCCGACGACGAGGGGAAGACTTCTCGTAATGGAGTGATGTTCGACGGTGTCCCAGTACTTAAGCATGATCTATCACAGAGTTTCTGGCTGATGTCCCTGGATTTCTTCTACCGACCAACTATCAGGTTGTTTCACAGCCCTCTGTACCCGGACGATCGGTTGACAGCGGCCCGGCGGCAGATGACTCGGAGCTTGTCTAAGAAGCATGACGAGCAGGGCATCTCTCTGCCGTACAACTTGCAGCACATAACGCACGTCCAGGTGTCGTTTTTGCTGCCTTGATGCCCTGTGAATTCCTGCCCGCTGTGGCGAATCTTGAAAACGGCTGACATGCAATGACTTGCCTTGGGCAGGTGGACCCCAGCGACTCGACGGGATTCAGCGGGTTGCCGGAGGAGTGGAGACAGATCTTGAAGTCTTCAGGGATTGGCAAGGAGGAGACGATGAGAAACCCACAGATTGTGAGGACTGCTCCGTCTGCAAGAATGCTTTCTGATCCTGAGGAATGTTTTGCAGGTGCTGGACATTCTTGAGTTTCGTTCGGCAGGTTGCACGAGGCCGGCGCCTCCCAGGTGTGCTGATGAGAAAGAAGGTCCTCACCTCGATGACAAAGTCTGTTGGCAGGGCGAAGGACTTCAAGGCTGCCTCTAAGGACGCGGTCCAATTCAAGTTGGAGAACCCTCTGAACCATATCAAGAGCCTCAAGAAGGTTTTGCCGCTTCCTGAAGAATCTACAGGATGAACGTCTGCAGGCAGGGGAAGGCTCCTCGGGGTCTGTGTATATCGGCGATCGTCTTTCCGACGGCAGGAGGATCGCTTTGAAGAGGCACTGCACATTTCATCGCTCATGCTGGGAGCTGATGACTTTGCTTGTGGTCAGGTTGGAGATTGGCAAGCAAACGAACATCCCAGCTCTAGAGAATGAGATTGCTATGATGGCATTGAGCAAGCACCCCAACATAAGTCTGCAGAGAGTGTTCTCTGCGCTCGTCCTCTCACTCTGCCGCCAGCCGAATGCATACAGACTTTCCTTTGGGAGCGGGAGTTGTGGATCATGATGGAGGCGGTGGAAGGAGGAGCGCTCTGTGACCTCATCACCAACTTCTGCCTCGAGGAAGATGTATTCCCCTTGGCTCCTTCGGCCAGCAGCCTGTTGAACTTGCCTCGCTGCAGATTGTCGCATACCTGTGCCGCGAGGTGGCGCTTGCGCTGTCGTTCCTGCATACCAGGAGTCGGATCCACCGGGACATCAAGGTGTGAAGCCTCCTCCGCCCGTAGCCCCCGTGACGTCTGACTTCCCTCAGAGTGACAACATTCTCATCGGGCTGGACGGGTCAGTAAAACTCGCTGACTTCGGGTATTGCGTTCAGCTAACGGAAGAGGCGGGGAGGTGCCAGTGACGTGGCACCCTCACTGTGGATGATTGCTTGCTGCAGGCGCAACAGTCTGGTCGGAACTCCTTACTGGATGGCCCCCGAGCTCATCAGGACGCAATACTACAACGAGAAGGTCGACATCTGGAGCCTCGGCATCATGGCCATCGAAGCCGTAGACCGGTGCTCCTCGCCGAAATCGTTTCCTTTCTCAAGTCTTGTCCGATGGTTTCCCAGGGAACCGCCATGGTTCGATGAGCCGATCATGCGAGCGCTGTTCCTCATCACATCCAGTGTGTACCTCCGCAGACTTCTCTCTCGCATAACGATCGTCATTCAGGTGATCCCCCCAGCTTCAGGAGGAAGGGGATGTCTACAGGTACTCGCTGACACGGCAACGAGAAGCTGACAGTTTGATCTCTTGCAGAGACTTCTGACTGGCTGTCAAAGTGCCTCCTTGAGAACGTGAGAGATTCCTGTTGCTTTGTTTCTCTGATCCCTGGTAAAGCCTGAGCAACGATGGAGTGCCGACCAACTTTTGCAACATAAGTTCCTTCTCAAGGCAGGATGCTTCTGCTCTTTTCGAGTGTGTCTGAACGCTACTGGGCAGGCGGCAAAGAGCTCCAAGACGGCTGCTCTGGTCTCAGAGATGAGGGAGAAGGGGGCGAAACATCAGAGCAAGAGTCACAACTGACGAGGCAGTCACGTCGACTAGGAGCGAGTGCACGGTCACTGGCTGTTACCCTACTAGAGAGGTTGAAAGCAAGAGGCGAGAGCGGCGAGATGATTGGATGTTGTTCACATGGAATGTTCACAGGACAAGGGAAGATAAACTTCATTTATTCAAATCAATCCTCTACACATGTTATCCCATTATCGTCTTTCTTCTCCTCCATCGTCCCCTTACTCTCCGTAGTACGTCAGGAGCGCAACTCCGCGAAGAATCCACTTGGACGGTGGGTCCTCAGTCCTGATCTCAGGAGCGAACACGAAGTTGGGCTGAGCAGCCGTCATGCCGCGCTTCCTTGGATCTTTCCGCTCATACACGGGGCACTCGTAGACCATGTAGTCAACCTTCTTGTTCGCCTTTTGTACGGCAGTGACCCACATGCAAGGCAGCGGGATGAAGAGGATCTTAGGAGGAGCCTCTACCAGTTTGCTCTCCTTCTTGCTCCATCCGCACCCGTCGAGGTACATTCCATGGATGTAGACTCCCTCCGATGGCGACTCCTTCACGTCCTCAGGGTCGTGCTTGGTCACCTCGGTGAACACTGCCACGTCATCGAGGGCCCAGCCCGAATGCGATCGGGTCACTTCCTGGCGGCAGGCCGTCAGGAAACCTGGGCCGTTGGTGAAGCCGGGAAGCCAGTAGGATTTGGGTCGGCCGCCCTTGATCCACCTATCCCACTGCTCGAAGCGGTTGATCAGGCTCTGAAACCAAATGCCGACGGTAGGGGAGAACCAGGCGCCTCGCAGCCACGTGGGGGGAACCTTGGCGTTGGAGAGCGAGTCGAGAGCAGAGGCAAGGTCGTCCGACATAACGATGGTGCCGTCGATCGCAAGCTGCAAGTTATTGAGAGTGCTGCGGACGACTGTCATCACCTTCTGCAACACGTCGATCTCCTGCCGAAGGGAGATGTTGACGGGCTTGCTTTCCCCGGCCTTCTTCAACGAGGACTTGATCTCGTTCATGTTGAAGTTAGCCGGCAACTTGGAGAGAAGGTCTTTGCACAGCTCGGTCACAACCTCCTCCCTCGACTTGCCACTGCCACCGCCGCCGCCCTTGGGTTGTGTCTCAAGGATAGTTGCAAACACCTTCTCGGCGTTGTCGACTCTGAAGACAAGATCGGCGTTCATGTTGAGACCGAACACCTCAGGGCTGTCAGTCGCCGGGTAGGAGTTAACGTGCTCCCGAAACAAGTTAATGTCCGTCCCCTGCGGGATGGTGTAGCCCTTGAGGAAGCTGTAGTTGGGCTCGAGCACGGCGTTGCAGAAGAACTTCTCAGCAAAAGTGTTCATCTGCCTCCTATCCCAGTCATCGGTGATCCTTCCTCCGTACTGGATCTCAGCGATCATGTACCGGACTGTGGACCATGTCACCTCCTTGGCTTTCTTAGCGTCCATGTCCAGGATATGATTCTGCAGGAAGTTGGTGCAGGCGCTCAGGTCAGACTGGTTGAACTCATAAGGGACCGTCCAGCCGATGGCTCCAAACTTCCTCCTCTCCTGCACCACGCTGTGTAGGTGACACAGGACCCAGAGCAGCGTTCGCCACTCGATGCGAGGAACAGCATCCAGGGTGTCTTGGGTGATCCAGGCGTACGACCTCTTCATGCCTGCGCGCATGCCGACAGGAGCTTCGTTGGTGATCTTGATGGACATCTGGAGGAGGCCGATGGGGATGCCGTTGTGAGGTTCTGCTGTGATCCACACCCTGAACTCAGACTCGATCTCCTCGAGCTTGCCGATGGTCTGCTCGAGCTCCACCAGGTACTTGAGCCCCAAGTGGGTGTTCTGCAGCAGCACCCAACCACCGTTGGCCACACACTGCTCGATGTATCGTCGGGCAACGATCTCCTGACCCTGGCCCATGGAGACCGAGAGCACCTCCTTCTTCTTCTTCTTGGCCAGCGCGATCACAAGCTCAGTCGGATCGGACCCGGGAGTCAAGACGAAGATGACGGGAACGCGCTCTGGGCTGTCCACGAGCTCGCAGATATCCTGATGGGTCTGCTCGAGATTGAGGGGGTAAGTGTCGGTGAACTTCTTCCCGATCGCCTCTTCTATGTACTCTTCAGCACTGATCATCGTTCGGTCGGTTCGGATGCTTCGCACTAGCAGCATCTTGTTCACTTTGTCGAGTCGGTCGTCGATGTCGGGGACAGGGACGGCCTCGGGGGCCTCCTGGTCGTACCACTGCTTCCACAGGCTCTCGTTGCGAGTCACAATGTCAGCGAGCTCCTTGAACAATGGGATCGACATGCTCAGCTGGATGATGTTGAGCCAGACCTGGTCGGGGATCCACTCCTTGGGCTTCTTCTTCACGGCGTTGATGTCGAGGGCCGCTCCGCCCTTCACGAAGCAGGAGAAGTGATCCTGGTTGATGAGCTCGGCCTGCAGCTGCAGCTTCAGCGCAAGGAGCAGCGTGTAGATCTTCTTGTGGATCTCCATGTAGCCTCTGCAGACGTACAGGAAGGTTCGGAACGTCAACTCCTCCACCACGTTGGTGATCCTCTTGGCTGGGATGGCAGCCTTCTCTGACTGGACCATGGAGAGCTGGAACACCTGGATGAACTGAGCGAGAGACGTGTTGTACATGGGGTTCACAACGCTCATCTCTGCGATCAAGAAGTAGATGATTGATCCCCGGGCAGCGATGGGACGATACTCCTCACAAGCTGCGCGGATCCTTTCTTCAGCCTCGCCCGCGTTCTTCAACTTCTCCGTCACTTCCGCAGAAGTCTTCTTGGTGATGTTGAGCACGTCAATGATGTCCTCGTCGTTCAACAAGGATCCCTCGCAGTTTGCTAGACGATAAAGCAGGTCATCTTGAAGCTCCATGATCTTAGCCTTGTAATCATTCACTTCCGTCTTTAACTTTGTTCGCTCTGTCTGCAGCTCAGGTTTCTCGAACTGAACGACACGATCTAGCAGCTGGTCTTCGAGCCCCTTCATCGTAACAGTGAAATCGATGACCGTCACCTTTGCAGACAACTCGGGAGTGAAGTGAGGGTTCGCAAGCCTGGTGGTCACGTACAGTTTGAACTTTTCCGGTTCGACATCGCATTCTTTGTCGGCTAGAGCCACGATGTATCCCTTGCCTTTCCTTTGGAATGCCTTGTCGAGAACGGGATCTAGAACTGGATCCAGTTCTTCTTCGACATTCGCGAGCAGAAGAGGCTTGCCGTAGGACATGCAGTCTTCGAGATGTGTCCTGAACATCTTGTCGACGAAGCTAGTTTCTTTACAATCGTTGCTCGATTCTTTGTTCTTGATCCAAGTCAAGCCCTGACCTTGGGGATCCACCATGAGAGGATATCTCGAAGCCGTGGTGGTCAGGATACCATTCTGGATCGACAGATCATCGGTAGGGAGTCCCTGGAGATTCCACTGGCCAGTTGTGGCTTCATCTGTGAGCATGGTGGTAACAGAGAGGTTCTTCGTCACAGGGATGTTCTTGGACATGATGTCTTCGAGGAAGAGCGTGCCCAAGAGAAGATCTCGGAAGGTCTTGTTGAAAGGCCCCGTGTACGACATGAACCCACAGGCGATGGCGCTGTCACCAGCCAACCTTGCTATCTGATCTGCAAAATCAGCAGACTGCTGAGTCCATCGGTCTCGTTCTCCGGCCAAGCCGTTGAGGAGCTGAGTAGCAGCATCCATCTTTCTCTTGGTGGTATCAGCCTCTTCCTGCAGCCGTTGCTTCTCTGACATGGCTTCATCGAACTTCTGTTGCAGCTTGTCTGTCTCGCTCTGAGCTTTCTCCAGCTCAGCCTCTGCAGCTGCCAGCTTCTTCATAGCAGTGGCCAACTCAGCCTCCTTGAGCCTCAGCGCATCCATCTTGGGTATCACAACCTTGGCGATCATGTGATACGTCTCCATCGCTTTCACCCACTTGCAAAGACCTACAGCAAGGCCAGAAGCCTTTGCCGCCATCTCCTCTGTGAAGAGCTGATGGTGGATATACGGTGCGAGGAGCTCACAATCTTCGTCAGTGATGCTTTCTTTGGGGAAGTTCTGCAGATCTGCGAGGAAGGATGATTCGTTCATCATCTTGGAGGCTTCCGAATAGTTATCCTTGTAGCAGTTCACTCCCATCTGTCTGCGTCTAAGGATCAACACGCCATCGAAGATGATCTTGATGACAACAGGCGGGTTCTTCAAGCTCTTGAGGTTCTTGATGTCGTCAGGTTTGATTGCCTTCAAGGCGTCTTCTGCCTCAAGCAAGGCCGGCTTTGCCGCTTCGAGATCTCGTTCGACCTCAGCCTTCTCAGCTCCAATCGTTGTAGCTTTCTCATTGGCAGCATCTGCAATCTCCTTGGCAGAGGATTTAACCTTTTCTGCTGCCTGCGTGGCTACTGAAATCTCCTTCATGAGCTCTGATGACTTCTTTACAGAGTCTGCCAGAACAACCTCAGCGGCCGCCAATTCCACTTTCATTTTCTTGACATCATCTTGTGCTTGGAAGAGCTTCTCAAGACCATTGTCGATCTTGATTTTCAACACGTCTACCTTGTCTTTCTCTCGTTTGTAGACGTCTGTGTAGCTCTTGATGAATGACAAGTAAGATTTAGGGGTGACATACACATTCCTTCGAAACTTCTGGAAGTATTCAAGAGTTGCATCTTGAACTATCTTATGAACCGTTCCCATGTGATTGATGACAGCAGCTTTCACTTCAGCTGTGGACGCCATGTCGAACCTGCCGATGAGCGACTCTGACACATCTCTCAATCCTTGTTCCGGCCATGCAAGGAACCAATCGACAGTCGTGCAGTTGATAAGCCCAGGGAATTTCCTGCAGCGACTTGAAAGCAAATCTCCCACCGGAGACATGCACAAGACCACGTGCAGATTGTTTCTCGCCCTATCTCGGAAATACTTCCAAAGGTTGTCGGCTGAGTCCACGAAACCCTTTCCTGCCTCTTTCTTTGCGATTGGACGCATTTCCCCGACGATGGTGTCTTGTTCATCTTTTGCAAACAGGCCTGACACCTCTCCTGTGGAAAGGATTTGATTGATGTACTCTAAAAATCCTTCTTCTTTGACTTCGGCATCAGTGAAAATGAAAGTGACTGGCTTGCCTTGAACTCCCGCAGTCCTGTATAACAGCTTCAGGTCGTCAAAAAGGTTTCCAGTGTTGTAATGTTTCGTGATTACTATCTGAAAAGTGAAATTTCCTGCTATGAAGGATGCAAGCCTTGTAAGGCTTTGCTTTCCAGATCCTCCAACTCCAACCAACATCATTGAACCACGATCCATGCAAATGACTCGATTGATTCTCATCAAATGCTCCAAGGCATACTCGAACAAGACAAGCTCCAACTTGCCAACCTTGTTCTCCTCATTGTGCTTTGATTGGAATTCTAACGCCTTGTTCTTCACGAACTCGCGATCCTTCACCTCCTCATAAAGCTTTGGTCTTTCATCTTCGACCACTCCATCCGCATCGATGATCGGATCACCAAGAAAGTTCACGAAATAACACATCCCTTGAACGTTGCTTCTCATCTCACCTCCAAAAACATCTTCTATTACATCTAAAATACAGTTGTTTTCCCATTCCTTGTCTGCAAGATTCGTGAGCTTATCGGAGAACACCCTTTCGCACTCATGACGCCAAAGCTTGACAAGGTAGACTTCGTCTCGGACAGTTTCTCTTGGGGCCTCAAATATTCCAGCAAATACTCTTGAAAGCTCTCGCATGTTGAACAAGTAGTGAAATTTCGCTGGCGTTGGAAGCATCTTACTTGAAGTTTTCTGCCAAAGCTGAATGGTAGCCTCTGTCAATTTCGATGCAAGGTTCGCCACAGCTTTGGGTACTCCAGACGATTCGGACAGGCGACCACGGATAATTGATCCGAAGATGTTGTCTACAGCGATCAACGATGGCATTGTTACATTGAACAGACAGTACTGACGTTTCAGACGGTTCGGGATGTCATTTCTACCTCCTCCTGGATGTGTCATAGCTGCTGTGTAACAGATGTCCACCAAGCCCTTCCATTCACCTGGCTTATCGAGATTGTAAAGACCAGCCTCGGCAATGCTTTGCCTGACTATCTCGTTTGTGATCTGATCGCCCCAGTTGTTGATGACAGGCATAGAGATGTCGTCAATGAAGAAGACGCACTTCTTTCCACCAGGTGGTCCGTAAGTCCTTCCCTGTCTCTTCTCTACAGTGCTCTCCAGAGTCCTCTGATAAATCATCGGAGTTGTGACGAAAGAAAACGGAGTCATCTTGATGTTGTAGATTTCCTCGTTCAGGTTTGTAAGATACATCAAGATACATGCAGTCTTCGAGACTCCTGGACCACCAGTGAACAAAACTGGTTTTCCAGCTGGAACCAACGTAGCAAGCATCGACTCGTATCGAAGTGAGTCCAAGGTTGGAATGAGAAGCTCTGCAAACTTTGGTTCACGATCCTGAGGATACTCCCAGGACTCAACTTTAGTTCTCCAATGTTGCCAATTTCCCTGCGCGTCGACCAAATATTCATAACAGGTATCGCCCTCGTCAAGATTCGGAGCATTCTCTGCGATTGCAATCAACTTCTCATTGAATTTGGTACGATCCGAGAGTTCCAGGAGGGCACCAAGGGACCAACACAGCGAAAAAATGAAGAGTCGTTCCATGTGTTCATCGGATAGGATTTGTTTGGTGTCGATGAAAGGAGCAGTTAACTCTTCAAATATCTTGAAGGCACTGTTCAAGTATATTCCCTCTGTGGAGTACATAACAGCCTTGCAGTCTCGGAACAGGAATTCAAACAGGGGGTCAACATACTTGTCTATGAGACTTCTCAAGATCTGATGTTCCTTATCTCTCCTCGTCTGCAGCCATGACTGAGCCAATGGCTTCCATCCAAGGACACTGATAGAGAAGAAGATGATTCCCATGCGGGAAACAGTAGCTGGAGAGGCATTCATCAAGTTCTCAGGTTCAAAGATTGCCTTCATCTCAGGCGTCATCGGAATTCTATCACCATTCGCCAGAGTGAGCAGTTTGTTGTCATCCAGCACGGTGTTCAGGTTCTCAATCCAAATTGCATCTACAGGACCATCGAGCAGAATCCAAGTCTTTGAGTTCTTTGCCTTGGTTCCTTTCCTCCATAGCACAGCAAAGATTCCATCTGTCCAATCTCCAGTTGTGGCATCCAACTTTCCAAACATCTGGGCAGCCGTCACAGCCTTAGGATTCATTTTCAAGATGACGTGCTTCTCGTCAGTCATCGTCAATGCCCCTGCGAGTGTTTCCAACGCCATAGTCTTTCCAGCTCCAGTGGGCCCAACGATTCCAATCCCATGTCTTACAAAGTAGGTCTCCAAAACCTGCACAACCTTGCCCGCCCATTCAGGAGCTTCTTTCCATTGCAGATTCTTCTCTTTTGCATAGTTTTCTGCTGCACTCTCAACCTGTGGAAAGGTGGCCTTCTCTGCAGTAATGTTTGGAAAAAGATCTTCAATCAAAGATAAGAAGAGAGGAACGTCTTCAGCAATCATCTTGGACATGTTCATGTCACGTAGTGTTCGCATCATCAAGAATGGCTCAGGTGCACTGAGGTTCTCACGCTTGACTTTACCAGCTGTCCTTAAGACAGAGAGGATATTTCGAAGTCCGTAGTCATAGTGCGTCTGCTTTGTCAACTGCAGCTTGCACAAATTGTACAAAAGGTCAAACTTCTTAGCAATGACCTGATTCTCATAGTATCCACATGCAGCTAATTTCACCCTGATGATCAACATGAAGTCTGGAACCATCATGCAAACTCCACGAAACAAGGCTTTCAAGTTTTCAGGCAACTCCTGCCTTCCTGCATAGCCAGGATTCATGGTGATGAAATAACTGCATCCAGGTCTCAATTGAACTGTTTGTCCATCAGTAAACACAAACTCTTTGCTGCGTTCTCGTTGTGCTGCCAAAACACAGGCTACTTGAGAGGCAGCAACTGACAAAACATCTAAGTCAATGCGATTGAACTCGTCGAAACATCCCCAGCAACCAGCCATGGCGAGACCCTTGTAAATCTTGCCCAATGCCTTGTAGTCCATCTGATCAGAGCAGTTGAAAACAACAACAAAAATTCCTAACATTCGTCCCATGTCCTTAGTGGTCTCGGTCTTTCCAGTTCCTGCAGGACCAGCCGGTGCTCCTCCTAGGAACATTCCGATCGCTTGAGAGAGTGTCACGTAGCATCGATCTGTCAATGGAGTGACAACGAGGCGCTCCTTGCATCCAAGATACTCGTGTGAATAATCGAAATCAACATCGCATATTGAAATGACCGTCCAGTCCTTCTCTACCTTCCAATAACATCGTGCTTGCTTCAACCACTCAAAATCCTGTGGATCCTTCACCTTCTTCTTTGCAAGCTCTTCTGAAACATCCTTTTGATGAACTTGAATGGTAATCAAAGTTTCGATGTTGGTGCGTTCCAATTTGTTCCATTTGTCAATCACCGTCATTCCGATCAATTCATTGAGAACGGCCAGTGCTTTCTTATTCGAACCATGCAAGGAAGACTTGTCTTGTCGAGCTCGCTTGAGTGCATCCTCTGTTTCATTGGTCCATTGGAATTGAATAGCCATGATGCCAACTTGAGCTGGAAACTTCTCGACGATTTCTTCACAGCTCATTCCTTCACATTCTGCTCCGCATTCCCTGCAAATATCATGCAAAGTTTCCTGCATTTGATTCACGAGATCCCCTAGATAATCCTCAACATTTCCACCAAGATTCAACGGAGTCGAAAACCTCACTTCTTCTTTGTCGTTAGCAACCATAGTGACAGCAGTATTCTTCTTCTGCTTGTCAAATGAAAGCGCAGCTAAAGAATCAAAGACGTTTTGCAAATGTTGAACGATTGCATGAGGGTCAGAACCTTGAGAAAGAATTTCTAGCAAGACACCATCAGAGCAAAAGTAGAAGCGAGGGAAACAATTTCTTTTGGTTTCCAGATAACCCGTCAATGACTTCTGACAAAGTTCTAATTGTTCCGTGAGATGTGGCAAAAGTGTCCTCATCAACTCATTCCCACAGCAAAGTTGAACACAATTCGGAACTTCGTTTGCCTTGGAAGTGATCTTCATGAAGTTCTTGTCAATTGTTTGAAACCGTTTTGCCTCTTGGGGAAGTTGTTTTGCAATGTCTCCACTTGAGAACACCGCTTCCATATACACCCAGAGATTCTGCACTGCAACCCATTGCTCTACAACATCTGATACCGTGGAAAGATTTGCTATCCATTCCATAACTCTCTCACGAAAGGGAGCTGAGTATCTGTTGCCAGCCATTGACCCAAGATTCATTTGTGATTCCTCCAAAGATTCCATGATTTCACCCAAAGCTTTGCTTTCAAGAATGACAGGACCTCGATTCTTGAAAGGGGAAAATGCGAATGCTTGGGCTTCCCAAATTTGGATGATAGCGTCTAACTTGTTCTCGATCTGCAACTCCTTTTCAGATCCCCCGGCAATATCCTCAATATCTTCCGAGAACGAAACCATTCCAAGATCTAGCACATGCTGCAATTTGCAGTTTTCGGCCGACGGACCATTTTCGTCCATCGGAATCTGTTTGCCACATACTTGCATTATTGCCTTCCAGTGCCTAACTCTCATGCTTTTGTTTGAACATTGCTGCAACAGTGGCAGCACTTCAAAGAAGTCATCGATAGTTTTCTTCAGCTCGCCGTAAGCCTCCCAATCTCTCAGCTGCTTGGGCATTCTTTTGCACTGAGACTGAAATGCAGTGGCAGCTTCTGTCATGCTGTCGATATTTGCTACAACATCAGCCCATAGCAGATCGCCATATCCCTTGATTCCTTGAACCACGTTCACGTATAAGGAATACAATTTGTCCAGCAGTTCAAGTTCTTTCTTGCACTGTTCCAGTTCTGGATACTGGGTTATGGGTAAACCAAACAGCTCTTCTCCTTCACAATAAGAATCCCATTTTCTTTGTCGCTCTTCAAACAATCGCTTGTACTTGTTCAACCTTTCAGCAGCTTCCATGGGTGGAATTCCCTGCACCATAGGGCCGTTGTCAACAAAATCTTGCCTGAAATCTTTCGCATCAGCAACAAATTCTTTCACATTTTCCGTCAAGGTTTGTTTGAACCCAGCTTGCAAGCTAGCAAGGCGGTCTCCAGCAGCCATTGCTTGAGATTTGACCCTGATCCATGTCTCTTCAAGGTTGCTCAATTCGTCATACTCCTCTTTTTCAACATACACGTTGTTGTTTGAGAGCAGTTGATACTTCTCTTGAACAGGTATGATCTGATAATCGATCTCGGACTCTCGCTCTCGAATTCCTTTCAGCACATTCATGACATCTCGCACGTCATCTAAATCATTCAATGGACGCTCAAGCTTCTGAAGTGTCTCTTTCATCATATCTTGCAATGATAACATTTCGTCTCGTGCTTGCGAATGCAAATTTCTAGAATATTGGGACTTCCATGCAGCAGCTTCTGACTTTAGCGAGCTTTTCACTGGATTTGTATCCAACGACATACATCCAATATTGTGCACCCTTTGAATATTGTCGATTGTGAGCTCAATTTCAACATATTTCTTCAATTCATTATCAAATGCTTCGTTGTCCGGTTCCGTTGCCATGAACTTTTTATATTCAGCCTGTTTGTCCATTTTCCACAAATGTTCATATTGCAAAAATGTCTGGAGGTAATCATGGACTTGTTTTTTTGTACCTTCAACACTTCCAGTCAGCAAAAGGACAACTTTCACGATCTCGCGGTCTTGGGCAATCAATGAGTGAAATGTCTGGAGCTTGTTGACATCTTGTGTACGGTCTTGGCCCCATTGGCAAATACTCTTCGAACACTTCAACACATTGATGGCACATCGATTGATCGCTGCTTGAATTTCATCCAAGCTCGGGTTCATAGTAACATGTGGCACTGCAAGCTCTACATTTACGTCAAAGAAGGGCTTGTCAGCGACTATTGCCCCCATTCCAGATCGCGATGCCAGCCTGCGCTTCAAGGTATGAAAGGAGCTCTTTGTGGTGTTCAAGATAGCCAAGTACATGAGCCGGCTATAGTGATCCCTCAATTTCTGGATCGTCTCTTCGCTGATACTGGAAACTTCCGTGTCTTCAATGGGAAAATTGAGCACTATGTTGATGAGATCTTCAACAGCACGCTCAACCTCGAGATTCTTGGCATCCATCATCTGAGTTTTCTTCTTGGTCACCTTTTCTTGCATGATGACGAATTGATCCAAAGTGAATGAAGAATCTGACTGAATATCAACCAGCAATGTCTTGCTGATATATTTGAGATTTGACTCCACTCGGTTTTCTATGAGGTCGTTGATCTTCTTGACAAGTTCTTCAAATTTCGCAAGACCCTGATGAATTCTGTTCAGATACCCATCAATGTTCATGGACTGCCAAGTCAACATCAACATTCCAGGTTGAATCTTCCTGTCCAAATCATCGAGATGCGGCTTCAGAAGTGGACGAATCACAGGAATGACTTTTCCTAGGACTCTGTCGTATTCCTTCAATACAAACAAAAGTTGGTTGAAATAGGATTTGAATTTGTCCTCTTGCAACAGGACCATTTTTGCACTTTCTGGAACCTCAATTCCAATCCGCTGCATGCATTTTGTCTCTCGCATTAGCTGTAAGATCTCTCTGTCAAAATTCACGAAGAGCCTTCCTGATTTCGGATGTCTCACAATCAGTGAAGCTTGAAGACCAGCCTTTGCTGCCTCGATAGACTTACACCAAGCATGATGCCAAAGAGTTTCATATTCGATCAGAGCTCGTGCTACTTTGTTGTAAGTCTTGATGATTTTTTTAGACTCTTTGGTGGTCATGATGTTCTTGTTGGCTTGAAACTTTTTCATCGGGTCCTCAATTCTTCGAAGCAACTGCCTCGCCCAAATCAAATTGCCTGCAACTGGTGGAGAGTTGCGAACAGTCGGAGGGGCATTTTTTTGCTTGTCGTAGATTTTCTGCACTGTCTCTAAATCTAGACCATAGTTGTGAAAGATGACGGTGTACTTGCTGTCAAGATCGGATTTGAGAGTTTCCCTTTGCAGAATGGTCTCGAATTGCTTAAGCAACGCAAGAGCATGTTCAGTGCTTGTAATGTTTTCGAAACTTGCATTGATGAACCCTTGGAGTTGAGTCTCCAATTCTGCAATGTTCACATTATACTCAAGAAAATCACGATCAAATGCATTCTTGGTGTAGTCCAAAAGGTCGTAAGGTTTTTTCTTGAAGTCATCAACAAGCTGAAAGAATTGCGAAATCAAAGAATCCATACCTTCAACTTTGTTATTTGCAAGGGCACTGAATTGTACTATGGTAGTAAACATATCCATGAGCTTTTGAACTCTTTTACAGTAAAGGTCAAATTTTCCGAATATTCTACTTTCATTGAAATCGAATTGTTTCACTTTGGGCTGGGTCTGAAGCTTTTCTTTGGTAAGGCGATAAAGCTCTTGATACGCATCGTTCAACTTAAGACTCATCTCCAGTCGTTTTAGCAAGCTTTCATAGTCCTGGTCCCACAACCTGACTTTGTTCTCTCCAATGACAGGGCATTCAATACTCTTCTTGCAAGTTTTGATCATCTGATTCGTAATCTTGACAAACAAAGTTGTCATGTGCTCTTGAGTGCTGTAGTATCTGGCAATGGTCAACATCATTTTTACGTTGTTCATCAAAGCAGGAAGGCTTTCAATGATCGCTTCAGGTGTGCCTGTATACAGTGGTTCTGTATACTTTTGCAAAGTAGACAGGTATTTGACATTGTCCTTGGCCTCGTTCAATGCGTCAGTGATCCCATTGTCACATAGCTTCCACCGTTTCAAGTGTTTTGATTTGGCGGTAGTGAGCACACCAATCACAACTCTAGCGATGGGCTTTTTCAATTGCTCTACAACATGATTGAATTTGGCCATCCTTGTCCTCCAATATTCGAACTCTGATACAACGTGTCAAGAGTGTTCAACATCGTTTTGGCAAGATGGTTTACCTGTCTCAGGGCCAGAATCATCAGCGTCTTTGGAAGGAGGTTGCTTTTCATCGAGAAGATCTTCAATTTGCGAGCACCATCTCTCCACGATGTTTTCGAAGTGAGTTACGACGTCGCTGGATAAGAGGTTTTACATTCACGAAACATCAATGAAAAAAATTAAACCTATCAACAGCAGCTTTGGCGAAAGCCGGCTGGGTGGGTTGAATCTTGCAAAGTTTCAGTCAGATAGGTCGAGACGAAGTGAAAGAATTACTGTTTCATATTTTGAATCGGGCATAGGCAACTCAATTCCACCCTTCAGACTGTGTACAGCTTCTGTGAGCATTTCTGCAAACTTTGACACAGTGCCAGAGTATTCTTTCCAATTTTCTTCAGGGCACTTTCCAAAGGACTCTTCAGACTCGATTGCGGGCTGAGGGAACAGAATAATGAGGCTTATGTGATGACGACAACAGGCAACGTACCCGGAAAACGTCTTGTACTACCACGTTGAAGTTTGAAAGTGGATTTCCAACAATTTCTCCATAAGCGCAATCCAATTCAAAGGACTTGACATCAATCCCCTTCGGATTAACTCTTGTGAAGTAACAGCATTTGCCATTCAGAATTTCGTCCTGTCCCGTGGTCATGTACAACTTATTCTTCCCGCTGGTACTTCGCTGTGAGAGCAAAATTGTCAGGGAAAAATCTTCTGTCAACAAGAGTTCACTACCTGACAGCATATCATCATTTTTTCAGGTCCATTTGGTTTCATAAAATCTTCAAGGATTTGGCGGTTCTTCCCTTGGGAGAGCAGAGAATCGACCGATGGACTGAACTCCCAACCCCTCAACCCCTGCTCAATCCTTTCTTGCACGTACTTGTATCTAGGATCAGCCATGATTCTATGTCAGGAGTTTCCTGTTGTTTCCGCCTCCTCTTCGCTCAGGTTCCCCCCCTCCCTCTTCTTGCCACCATGCCCCGCGGCACAACGTCTGCCGGTTGCCCCTCTCCTCCGTTCTAACCCCACAATTAGACCCATAAATTATCAATCAATAATATTGAATGATTATATTTATTCAGAAAATCAATCTTCGCTGTACAATTTGAAAAGACCCAAAGGGGGAGGGTGGACCACCCTTCTCAACCGCCGGGCCTACATTATTGATTCAAGTACGGTAAAGCAATACAACTTGCTTTTAAAACATACATCAAGTACTGTAAATCAGTACTAGACTGAGAATCCTTCATTAAGTTAGTAAAAGATAAAAAATTATGTGTTGGTAGTGCAAAAACTTGAAGCCTTGAAGATAATTAGTACTACACTACAGGTAGTACTTGAAGATAATTAGTACTACACTACAGGCGGGGGCTGGTATTGACTATTACAGTACGTACTACCGTACCGTACCGTACGGTACCGTACCGGGCGGTGTGCGCCATACGAGTCCAGTGAGCCCCGGGCCCGGCCGGGCGCTGCGCGGTGGGACTGCCGGGCCTTGACGGAATACAAGTTTGTTAGACTTGTACTAGTCCAAAGTCACGCTATCTGACTGGCACGGCTGGCATACGTTCCATCCTCCCCCCGAGTTTCTGAAATAGTACGTTACATCGGACGTCAGAAAGTCACACAAACAAGAGAATGTCAGCAGATCCAAGTCAAGATACGATGATACAACGTCAAGTTCACAGTCATGCTGAGTGGGCAATAACCATTCGAGGATTGTCCATTCTGAAGAAGATTTTCATGCAGGGCTGTTAGATGTGCGGTACAGAGATAAGGGGAGATGCCTGGCGAGCGGATGCAATGACGAGAGATGGAGGATAGGATAAGAGAGTCTGAAGAGAGAGAAGATAAGAGAGATAGAGAGAGCGTGCCCGCCGGCATTTGAAGACCAAAAGATAAATGTTTTGAACCGTAAAGAACTTGTGACCAGAGATTGCTGCCGCAAGATTGGAACATCCGTTTCAAGGCATTTGAAGATTGTTGTGCAGTAGTACCTTGTTCGCCGATCCAGAAGTAGCTCCAGTTATGCATGCCACAGCCTAGCTCCATGACATGAAACTTCCGCCAGATCTCCTGGGAGTTCCATTTGATCCTACTCAAAGATCAAGAAAATAAGAATCGAATCAGCTTCAAGTGCGTTTCCACACGGTTAAGCAGATATTCGACCGACCAATCTGGCTGGGGAAAGGCTTGTTTTTCCTATTCGAAGATCAATCAAACAAATTGAGGCTGAGATGAGAGGCCTAAACAACTTGCGGCTAGAGAGAGAGCCTGATTGAAGAGAAGAGTCATCCGAATGTGTAAGGCTTGATAGAAAGTTGCATGAATTTTCAACAGTAACGGAAAACAATACCAAGAAAGAAAAAACTCCAGTAAACAATTCAACTAACCAAATATAAGATCAACATGATTGAGTATGTAACCGAGGCTCATAACCGACGGAATACAAGTTTGTTAGACTTGTACTAGTCCAAAGTCACGCAGATATCACATCGACCTTAATCTCAACAAGACAGTTTTTGCTCAAGACCGAGTTTAATCATGCGGCACACGAAAACCAGAATTGAGGAGCACATGAGAGATAGACTGTATGCTAGGATGTGAAACCCAAGCATCCAGACATGAGGGGACCTTAGCAAGACGGCTAGGAAGGCCTCCTCTTCGTCACATGTACTACATTGCCGCCTGCCACGTAAGTCGTCTTGGTTTACAGGAGAGTTTTTGTTAACTCGGCGCTATCTGACTGGCACGGCTGGCATACGTTCCATCAGGCCTGTCAGCCGCTCCGCCGGCGAGCGGCACAGCGGCGCAGCGCCCACTGATTTAGTAGTAAGTTGCACTGCAGCCCGCGGCTCACTCAGCCGGGACCGTACACGCCGCGGCCCGCCCCTTACTAACGGTACAACCGCCCGGTCGGACTGAGGGACGCGGCACGCCGTGACTCCGTCACGGCGTGACTGCATGGCCCGGGGCTAGTTTTCACTGACCGTAGCTTTACTATCACTGTACGGCCGGGCGGCCGCCCAGCACCGTGGCTGCCAACCCGGGCCCGGCGGCGGCCGGGCGTCCGATCTGGTGCAAGGAAACGGTCAACTTTTTTCAAGTTGCTTTCCGATTTCAAACTTTTGACTTCATTTATTGAATTCTAGAGCGGACTTTGAGGTTGCTGCCGTGTTTCCTTGAATCTTCGGCAGCTGATTTGCAAATTCACACTCATTTCAATTTCTCCTCTCAATATTTGGAATTGAATATGGAAGATTTGAAGGTGGGGACTAACACTACACCTCCTCTGTAGTACCCCTACCCCTTCGAGAATTCACACCACTTCCACTTTGTTTCCCCTAACCTTCTCTAATACCCCAAAATTTCATATGTGTAGCACCCTCTCTCGATCATTTGGAAGTACCCCCTACCCCATCCAAACTGACCCCCTACCCATCAGTTTCCTTCAAAATTGTTTTTAAATTTTCGTCCTGTCTTCCTCAACTCTGTCCACGTCAGAACTGTCTGATTTTATATACATCTACCCCCACCCTTCATGGCATGTAGAAAGGCCTGTGTGTACCCTTCCTACGAAGAGAAAATTTATCTAGATGATGGGGGTAATGGGGTGGTAGATCCCAGTTCATAATGGTGGGGTACTTCTATTTTACTGCAAAGAATTGAAAATCAATAAACAACTGCAATGTTTTTGGAAGATTTATTGAAGTAATGAAGGCTTCCAGAGCGCGGTGTGCGGGTCTGGGCAAGCAACGAGAAAGGAATGATGAGAATGGGGAACAGACAGTGAGGTAGGGGACATGACAGGAGAGAGGATAAAGAAGAGATTACAGAGTATGAGATGAGGGTGCAGGAGAGCGCAGAGAGGTCAAGCAAGAGGTGTAGCCAGCAGCCCGTGAGGAGGAGGTAGGGGTGGAGAACCATGAATGTTACGTTATGAGCTCAAAGATAAGCCAAGTGCTTGGCTCATGGTGTGATGACAGAACCAATGAGTCATTTCCGTGTTCACCATTAGCGTTGTATCGGCATGTCGCTATCATTGAAATTTTTGTTTAGATTCAACGATGTCTTCTCCTGAAGATCATATGAAAGAACTGGGCATTGACCCCTCGGACTTCAACATGAGCGGGTCTCAGATCTCGTCTCAAGAAAAGGACAAGGCACAAAAGATTCTGGACGCATGCATCAAGAATCCGGACAATCGGCACTGCGCTGACTGCAATGCACTGGGTGAATCCAACTGGTGATTGTGGATGCGCGAATGGTTGAAGGCATCTTTCAGGTCCTCGTTGGGCTTCGATGAATCTTGGTATCTTCGTCTGTCTCAATTGCTCTGGGATCCACAGGAGGCTCGGTGTTCACATCTCCAAAGTGAAGTCTGTGACTCTTGACGGCTGGAAGATCAAGTGGGCAGAGGTGAATTTCTCTGCTCCTCGCCTCGCCTCACCCCCCCCCACCCCTCCCCCATCTCTCCTCCTGCCTCTCTCCTCTTCCTCACCTCTTCCTCTCCTCTTCCTCTCCTCTTCCTCTCCTCTTCCTCTCCTCTTCCTCTCCTCTTCCTCTCAGTCCTTGCCTTCTGGTTGAGGATTCCTTGCAGTGGATGAAAGCCAGAGGAAACAAGGTATCCAACGCTTACTTCGAGGGCAACACCAACACCAGACATTACAAGAAACCGAATGAGAACACCTCGTCCTTGTGAGTGCCCGCCTAGAGAAGTTGTGAACTGAATGTTATCACGATACTTGTGCTGTGCTTACGGTGCTGGTTGCTTTCAGGGATTTAGAGGAGTTCATCCGGGCCAAGTACGAGCGTAAGGAGTGGATTGCTGTGGGAGGGTCCAAGGGAGGTAACGCTTCAGCCAATGACACCCATGAGGTGATTTCGATCATCCTTGAAATTCCCGTCTGATACTTTCCTTGGCCATCCAGGAGAAGAAGAAGCATCAAGAGGCTGAAGACTTCAAGCTTGCCCAGAAGCTTCAGAAAGAGCTGAATGTGTCTTCTGGCACTGCTAACCAACCGTCACAACAGCCGAAACCGGGTTAGTCTTTTTTGTTTCCCGACGAAAGATGTTTGATTTACAATGTGAAAAGCTGCCGCTCCTGTTGTCGATCTGCTCGATTTCTCGGCTCCTGCCCCTGCCCCTGCCCCTGCCCCTGCAGCAGCTCCCCAAGCACAATCAGATCCTTTTGGCGCTGGAGGAGATCCATTCGGCAACTTCGGAGGCTCTGACCCTTTCTCATCAAACGGTGCCACCGGCAATGGAGGAAATGACTTCGGTTCCTTTGGTACTTCACAGCCTTCAACAAACGCGGACTTTGGCAACTTTGACTTTGGAGGCTCGCATGATGCACATCCCAAGAAGAGCAAAGATGATATCTTGGCACTCTACGGTTCAGGTCAAGCAGCTAATGTGAACAACCCGTACGCTGGTCTCATGGCACCCAATCCTCAGCAAGGAGGAGGATTTCCAGGACAAAAGGGTCATGCTATGCCCAACAATCAAATGGGAGGCATGGGCAACATGGGCAACATGGGCATGGGAGGCGGCATGGGTATGGGCATGGGCAACATGGGCATGGGCGGTAACATGGGCATGGGAGGCGGCATGGGAATGGGCAACAACGTGAGCATGGGCGGTAACATGGGTATGGGAGGCGGCATGGGAATGGGCAATAATATGGGCATGGGCCATAATATGGGCATGGGCAACATGGGCATGGGAGGCGGCATGGGAATGGGAATGGGCAACATGGGCATGGGCGGTAACATGGGCATGGGCGGTAACATGGGCATGGGCGGTAACATGGGCATGGGCAATAATATGGGCATGGGCATGGGCAATAATATGGGCATGGGCATGGGCAATAATATGGGCATGGGCATGGGCAACATGGGCATGGGAGGCGGCATGGGTATGGGTAACAACATGGGAATGGGAGGCGGCATGGGCAACATGGGCATGAATTCAGGCGTGAGTATTGATGTCACTTCCTGAATCGATTTTTTGCCTTATGATTTCTGGCAGATGATGATGGGAGGCTCAGGGAACTCCTCGGGAGCTCAAGCTAACGCCTCTAATGACCCTTTTGCCAACCTTCTAAAGAAATGAAGGCCACATAGCACTCTTGGTGGTGCCGATCCGCCTGTCACAGAGATTTTCGGAGGCTATCTCCACAGCTCTGACCTTCATCTTCATCTTCAGTGTGCGAACTTTTTAAATGTCGCAGTGAAGACTCTTGTCTTGCACGAGATGTTGATACACCTTCGTTCTAGTAAACAGCTTAATCGAAATCTCTCGCGTGATGCTTGTTTTAATCCAAACAGCAAGTTTTGAACAACATAGAAGTTACCACATAAGGGTCCTGCAACATGAAAGCGTCAAGAAGCTGCTTGAGAAAGGACTGGGGCGGTGGAGATGCAACGGTAGGGAGTACATGACACTGGTGCGGGGTGATACCATATTTGACGCCGGCCTGCGATCTTCGAGGTATCCACATCCTGCGATCTCAGTTGACCTGCAAGACGATCCTAGGGTTAGGGTTGAGAACCACGACGCCCTCATGGTACTTGGGTACTCGGATGTGAGCCATGCAGTTTCCAACACCCCAGGAGAAGGTGTCGATGTGCGCTGTCTCATGCATCCCCTGCCTTGCCATCAGACCTCATGCCCGACTGACGACACGACAGACCGTCAATCTCCTCTCGTTGCCTTCTCCGTAGGCCATGATATGTTCCTTCAAGGTTGTCAGACGATTGAGCTAGTGCAAGTCAACTCACTTGATGCTTCCTCTCGAGGTTGATGATGCCCCTCCTGCATTCCCTTCACCTCCAGCACAAGATGAAGGATACACGAGCCTGATCTCCTCGAAGCCTCCAACCTCTCCTTTATTTGGCACCTCCCTCATCGCCTGACACTTCCCAGTCAAGAACGAACGATGGGCAAGCGCAATGATGCGACGAACTTTCGTGCTGAAGCTTGTGTGACATCCGGCTCCATTCCAGTCCCCTGACAAGAGATTTCACCATTCTGCATCGAAAAAAGCCTTGTCCAGCTTCACCTGGAATTGGCTTGGGATCGAATGACACTACACATCCGAAGTGTTCGCCAACTCTGACAGGCAGCGAGTGAAGGAAGGAATCGAAACTACGTTCAAGGCAACCTGTTCAGAAGGTATCTTGCCATGGTGAGATGATCCCCCATTTCAATCCCTTGGCAAGTCCCGACCTTGAACGCCCACTGAAGTTTGAACACGTCTTAGAGGAAACGCACTCACAACTCCACAGATCTATCGGAACCTGTCCTGGCATCGGTTGGCCATGAACGCCGCTGATCTTGACACCTTGATAGATAGCAAGTTGTGAACAGGTGACAGAAGCCAATCATGAAGCAACCTGCGCACAGACAAGCTTTCAAATGCGCCTCTGCTATCTGCCTTCCGAAGGAGACATCGGCTCCAGCCGAACAGTAGTATGGACCCTGTCAGGGAATGAGAGCCTGCTTCGCAGCGACACAGGATCGATCGCCTGCGGCCCGGGATAGCCCAGCTGCGTTGTGGGGCCTTAATCCTGTTGTCAGGTCGAGCTGGAGGCCGTTCACGTCAAATCACCTCCAAAACTTCTCGCGGTCGCGGATGGCCAGCCCAGGGGCTTTCCGTCCTTGAAGATGGTGTACTCCTAGAGCGAGCGTCAGGACCTCTGCTCTGCCCCAGGAGCCTCCCATCACCTGCGTTACTGAGAACCAAGGCTCGGCCTGAGGCTGCACGTCGAACAGTTGCTGCGCCATGATCCTCGTGTTGGACGGCAACGGTCGTTTGTCAGGACTCCTGCGAATCAGGGTGAGCAGTTCCTGGCGATTCAGCCATGGCTCTCGCAACCAGCAGTCGCAGAGAACCATCAGGTTCAGACCGGTGGGCCTAAATGGGTCTTGAAACAGAGCTGGGCAGCGAGTCAGCTACAAGAGCAGGAGGAGCAGAGCAGCGGGTTGCTCCGACCTCGGGGTTTCATTCTGACCTCCGAGCTGGGAAGGAAAATAGCATCAGCCACCTCGTCACAGAAAGACTCATCAAAGGTTTCAAATCACCAGTCGGGTGGAGCCTGGTTTGTCTGGAAGCCGTCGAAGCCAGCATCGGGAATATCCTCGAGGCCCTGAACCGTCTTAGGAAGCACTTTCGCCCTCGACCGGAGGTCTAGGGGCCCGTCCCCTCCTATCCAGACGTACTCAACCACAGACCTGTAGCATCAGAGGTCATAAGGGACCAGACCTTCCCTTGAAAGCTTTGAACTCTCTCTCTCTCTCTCTCTCTCTCTCTCTGCCACATCCTCCGCTTACTCTCTCCTTGGGAAAAGTTTAAAACTGTCCAATCGGTTTCGCTAGGCTCGCATTGAGATAAGGATAAACCTACGTTTTTGTACCAAATCATCGAGATCTGAATCCTCTTGTTCTGCCTCGCCTATTCGTTCCTTCTCTTGTTCTTCCTCATGATATCTCAACACTGACATCCTCTGCATCTACATGAATCTTATCTAGCATCCACATGCCTGTTTTCACCCAAAGTGATCAGACTCACTATCTATGTTCCTCATCGTGATCTTCATCCTCGTCCTCGTCCTCATCGTTCTTGTCTTCTTCGTCCTCGTCCTCCTCCTCCTCGCGCATCTCCGCCTTACTTGGTCGTCGGAAAATCGAGTGCCTCCATTCGATACAACCCACCTCCTGACCCGACCCCCTCTTTTATAAGCCCAGTACCCACCTCATTTCCAAGTCCGGGAAGATTCCGTTCATTGCATTCAGCTAACTGATTATTTTTTAAAAGTATCAAGCTAAATCATTTTCAACATCTGCCTCTTCGTTTACCTGCAATCGCCATGCAAGGATACGGTGAGGAAGCATGCGAGGAGAGGAGGAGAGAGGATGGAGGGAAGGAGGGAGAGAGGAGGGAGAGAGCAAGGATAGAGGAGGGAGAGAGGAGGGAGAGAGGAGGGAGGCGAGGGAAGGAGGGAGGAAACTAGGAAACGGAGCGGGTAAAGGCAGGAGATTCAAGAGCGTGGAAGAGGGAGAATGGGAATGAGTGAGAGCGGTGAACGGAGTCAGCATAAGAGCGAACACCGATAATAACAAATTCGATGAGAGTAATGGTGCATAAGGCATTGGAATCTGTGCATCATCATCATTCTGTCAGAACGCTGATGCTGGTGACGATGACGATGACGATGACGATGACGATGACGATGACGATGTTCGGTGGTGATAATGCGGATGTCGTCTTTGTTTGAACAATGCCAAAATCGATTAGCTGTGTGAGCCAGGGGTCTTGAAGCCATCACATTTACCTGGAATTGTGAAAATACATGAAATGTGATGTTTCGTATTAGGTGCCTTTGCAAGGCAGGAAACAACAACCATGGCAGACGGAAACAAGAGCAAGAGGGTAAAGGCAAGCATCGCTGCTACTCTCTGCGGTATGTTTGTATTGTTCTGGGCGCCAAGAGGATTGTTGTGATTCCTGTTTGAAGGGGCTATCCTTCTGGCTTGCATTGTTGTCTTCACCACGCATCGCAACACTACCATCTTGGAGAACGATCTATCCAAGTCTCTCATGGAGGTTGAGCTTCTCATTGAGACAATAACATTTCCTGGTTTGAATCTTTTGTCAGGAGGGAAGTATCAGCATCAACCCCGAATCAGACAATCCTGCTGCAGACTTCTATGCAAACTCAGAGAGTGCTGTATGGCGATATGATTTCCCTTTCGTCGCTTTGACTGGTGGAGCAGGGGTCAGATGAAGACGTTGAAGATGCTGGACCTGGGAATCACCTTGGGGGATGGACTCATCCAGGTAAGGATTTTCTCTTTGACTGCCTTTGAAATAATCCCGATGTTGTGTCTGCAGAGCTTTTGGACCCACCTTCCCCAGAGCAGCTGCAGAGCTTTGTTGACCCGAAGCAGAAGCAGCCGTTGGTTCTCCGTCCTGAAGACTATATGAGAAATCCTGGTGCACAGCTATCATGACTATTAGTGATGATATTCACTTGTACATTGCAGGCTCGGCCTTCACCTTGGATCATGACATCGAGGAGGTGAAGAAAATCCAGCAGAATCTTCAGAAGACCCACGAGGAGGTATGGGCGGATGGAAGTTGGTTGGTTGGTTGGTTAGGTTTGTGTGCAGGCTCAAGCAGCCAAGTCAACATATGAGAAGGAGGAGCAGAAAAGCGCTGCTTTGCGCAAGGTGATGGACATCCTGCTTTTCATGTGCTCTTGTTGTAGTCTGACACATGCGAGTCAGGAATACGTTGATTACGTCAACAAAGTGAAGCAAATGGAGATGATGCGTCGGCAAGCCATGGTCAGTGGGGCGTACCCCTCAGGACAAGGAATGATGGGCCGTGGCAAGAACATGATGTGGGGTGCTTACGGTAGTTTTGATCCTTTCTGAGTACCGAAATGTCTTACGTTAGCACTAGCTCAAGCCCCTCAGCACAAGAACTCGAAGGCCGGAACAGACCAGTTTATCATCGACAGCGAGCAAATGGAAGATCCTGTACGAACGATAGCAATCTTTGTGCACTTTTGACTCCTTGGGCAGGCTAAGGAATTCCGTGCGAACTTTTACGACAAACAGGTTGGCGAGCGAAGGCCTTACTTGGCAAACATCGATAGGGCCGTCCGCAAGCAGGCCATGTCCTCTTATCCGGCATCCAACGGCATGCGAGTGGCTCAGGCTCAATCTCTCCGTCAGTTCTCTCCCCAAGTCGCAAGCCCCCGAAGCCAAATGGCCCACATCGGAGAATCAAGACAAATTCGCGAAGGTCGCGAGCTTTCGAAGATGAGACGTGACATGGCTCGCTTGAACCTTGCCCGCGAGCACCTCGAGCAAGTTCAGCGCAGAGATTCTCCTTTCCGGGTCAGTCGAAGGATAATGTTTGCGTCCTCAGGATTCTGACTTGCAGGGGATCCGCAGGATGTTGCCTTCAGGGAGGGATGCCCCGCAGGAACTCCAGGGTGTGAGATGGTCCAGAGACAGATGGTCCAGCCCTCGGGCAGCAGGCTTCAGCAGGAGGTACTTGTGCCAGTTCGTGGTCGAAGTAAACTCTAACGAACGTCTGCAGCTTCGAAGGGAGATGCAGATGAAGACTCTTGGAGACAGCCTGGTTCCTGTTGAGGAGGTTTCCCTGTGAATTGTAGCAGGGTTTCCTTTCTGACAGTCTAGCAGGCCGAAAACCAGAAGCCCAGGTTCTTGGGGGATGGGTTGTACTAAAGTAGCAGTGAATTCTTTTGGACAATGAACATTTCATCGAGTTGTTTTGACCTCTCTCTGTGTACAGGCGTTCACGTTAGTCCGTAGCTGAAGCAATCATGCACCATAGTCCTAAAAGACCGATGATCAGCCACGCAGTGAAAATACATAGAGTAGGCTAGTATCGGAAACATGCGAATGTAACGGAAATCCGTTATTTGAAACTTTGACCTTTTTTTTCTTGATCATTTTCGCCTTTTTTTTTTTTCATGCAAAAGATTACGGTAGTAAAAAGGTTTTATTCAGGACCCCACCCCTCAGTTGACCCCATTCCGACATGAACCCCTTGTAGATATTTCTAAGGTACCGGTCAGGCCTCCTCATGATCCACCCCCACCCCCTCTGCCTACTAAAGTAAGGTCGATTGTACGGGCACGGTACCCACAGCTCTTTTATGGTTTCGAACTTGTGAAGCGAGGGACATCGAGCAGCTAGTCATCAGTAGTGGCAGCTTCTAGTCTTCTAACAATTTCCTTGCTAACATCTTGAGCTTTAAGCTCCTCGCTCACAACTCAAACTCTAGTTTGATCGTCATTGAGATCAGAATTCTACCATCACGAAAAAGAAGCCTAACAGCTGTTAAGTTGTGCCGTTACCCCTGAGAGTCTAGGAATCTTCTCCGCCGTCTCCGAATAGGGCAAGTTCCGTGACGAGCAGCTGAACCTTGTAGACCGAGTTCACAGAAGCACGTAGACTGCCGTGTGGGAGCCTCATGGCAGCTGTGTATGTGGCTACCCGGAAGGGAAGAATAAGGGGGAAGGAAGAGGCTTCCATCCCTACCATTCAGTTTCCTTCCGAAGACGACAGCATCCTCATCGCAGAGCTTCACCGGCAAGTCCTCAGGTATTCTTGTCCTCCTCTCCCTTTCAATCCCGTGACTGTGCAATGCCGCGACAGCACCATCGGAGACACATGGCAGCGCAGGAAAGTTTGTCTGAGCAAGGACAAGCTTCTGCTCGGAAAAGTCGGAGCGATGGACGTGATTGACTACATACCGCTGGATGAGGTCATGGCCGTCGTGTCCAAGACAAGCACAGAAGAAAACATTGACGAGACCGTCCGGCAAGAAGAGAAGAGGGCCAGTATCAAGCGATCGACAACTCTGAGGATAGACGACGTGAGTCTGCCGCGAGAGCCTCTCTCTACGTCCGCTGGTTTGATCATGAGCACAGGACGAGCTGGACGAGAAGATCTTCATCATCACGACCATACCCGAGGGACACAACTCGGGCAAGTCGACAGTGCTGCTGGCATCGAGCAAGGATGAGCGAGACACTTGGGTATGGAGCATGATGGTGGAGAGGAGCTAAAGGCGTGTGTTTGAACAGATCACAGCTATCCACCAAGCTGTCAAAGTCTATCTCAAGGAAAAGCTACGGCAAGGAGAAACGAAGCTAGAGAGGCGACAGAGGCAGCTGAGAAGAATCTACTCGAGCACAGCAAGTCAGCTCTTCTTCTCGGCTGTGATCATGGCGTCTTTCATTTGCGCCATCTTGTCGGCGCAGCTGCAGCCTCCAGACGGCTCGCAACAAGCGAGAGCGTTCAGAGCCTTGGAAATAACCTACACGTGCATCTTCGCATTTGTACGTACAGCAGGTGAAGCGAGGGGTCGCTGACGAGGGAGGTAGGAGCTGGTAGTCAACGTGCTGAGCAACTGGTACTGGCCGTTCGTATCGGATGGGTGGAACATCCTCGGTGAGGAGGGACGAGGGTCTGGGGAGTCATCTGACATTGTAGGGGCGACGCGCATGGGGATGCAGACTTCGTGGTCGTGATGATAACTGTTCTTTCGGAGATCATCCGAGGCGTGCCTGGTGTGAGCGCGCTACGTCTGATTCGTATCTTCAAGATGATACGAGTGTTCAGGTGGGGAGAGATAGAGTAGCAGGAGCAATGCGAGGGAGAGAGCAAGAGAGGGAGAGAGAGGGAGGGAGATGGGGGAAGAGACGGGCGTAGGTAGGGGTGCACATGTGACAAGAAGGACGAGGATAGCGACTGACTTGGAATGCGGCGGGACAGGATGCTCAACTCGTTCCGCGTGCTGATCAACGCCCTGTCGTCTTCGGGTAGGAAGGGAGCAGGCGGGCATGAGAGGAGAGAGCTGACGAGGGGACGCAGTCATTCCTGTGCTGAACGCGTTCTGCATCTTGCTTATCTTCACGTCGATCTTCGCGATCATCGGGACGAACGTGTTTGCTGGGAGGAGCGAGGACTTCTTCGGGAACTTTTTGAAGTCGATGTTCACCCTCTTTCAAATAGCGACTGGCGACTCCTGGGCGTCGTCGATTGCACGTTCACTCTTTATCGACGACGACCGCATCAACTTCTGGGTAAGAGGAGGTGGAGGAGAAAAGGAGGGGTGAGAATACGTCAAATGTAATGAGGGGAGGAGGAAGCGAGCTGGGCAGAGAGTAGGAGGGGAGGGAGCTAAGCTGTTGCACACTGAACAGACTGCGATGTACTTCGTGATCTATATTCTCATCGTCAACGTGGTGAGGAGAAAAGACTAGAGACCATGGCGAGGAGTGAGCAAGAGATCCCAGGTGCTGATGAACATCGTGGTGGCTGTACTGCTGGACGAGTTCATCTCGACGGTCGAGCGAGAGCGCAGCGAGAAGAAAGCAAAGCGTCAAGAGGACATTGTAAGTCTTGTTGATAAAAAGAGGAGGGATTGAGACTTGCTGTGCTGTACAGATCGGACTCGTCAAGTCGTTCCGTGGCTCAGGCCCGCTGGACCCGCTGGTGACAAGCCTGATGGACTTCTCGACGCTGGAGGAGCTGTCGTTGAAGATCTTCCAGCTCTATCAGGTCGCTCAAAAGCTCTCGAGCGTCTTGTGGGCTCGCAGACTCACACGTGTGGGAGCAGAAGATGGACCTGGACGAGTCCGGGTCAGTCAACCTCGAGGAGCTCAACTTCGGGCTCAAGGTAAAGCAGCGTAGAAGGAGCGAAGGACGTAGAGGAACAGAAGAGGCAGAGGCAGGAGCAGGGGCAGGGGCAGGGGCAGGGGCAGGGGCAGGGGCAGGGGGGAAGTCAACCATGAGGGAAGCAGGGAGACATGCTAGATGAGCAAGTGAAGGAAGAAGACAACAGGAGGGAGGTAGGATAGGGATCGAAATAGAGACAGAAAGCAGCAGACGACGTGTAAAGAACGAGAACGAGAACGAGAAGGAGGAGGAGGAGGAGGAGGTAGACGCTGACAGGCGGGTACATCAGAAGCTCAAGCTGAGCCCTCCCGTGACGCTGACGGAGGAGGATTGGGACGCGATCACGGACTCCCGGAAGCTGCTGAACTCGCAGGAGGAGCTGGGGCCAGAAGAGTTCGAGACGATGATCCTGACGCAGATGTCGAACTATGTGCATCGCAAGGTAGAGGGAGGGGAGGGAGAGGAGAGGGGGAGGGGGGGGGGGACGGGGAGAAGGAGGGGAGGGGAGAAGAAGAAGGGGCTAACGGGAGGCGAAGGTTGCTACGGCGATCAAGAACGAGGCGCAGGAGTTCAACTACGACGTCCTGTTTGCAATCAAGTCGCTGCTATTCTCAGTGGACAAGATAGACAACCCGATCTTCAAGTCGAAGAAACAGACTCCACGGAAGTCGAAGAGGGAGATCTTGAAGAAGCTCTTCAACTCGCCTGTTTACAACGCTTTCTCGCACTGGAAGCATGAGATGGGGTTGCCCAGCTCGTTTCGCCAAACTAAAGCCGTTAGCCTCGAGACTCTTAATGTCAACATGGAAAGAATCGAAGCTGTCTTGAGCAAGATCGTCTCGGATCCTTCCCCAGGTAGACCCCAGGACCTTCACATCCTCCGGCTCACCGACGCCGTGGAGAAGATACAGTCGTCCATGTCGCGGCACGACGACACCTTGAGAAGGATAGAGGAGAAGATGTCTCGGATGGAGAGGCACGGGAGCGAAGGGCCCAAGCGGCCGCATGGAGGAGCGAACGGGGGAGGGCAACGAGGAGAGGAGGGGCAGTCGCCGGTGGGGACGATGCTGGGGTCAGACATCATCGTGGTAGGGAAGGGCAAGCAGGAGGAGCGAGAGGAGGTCAAGCTCCAGAGTCTCAGTGAGCGTCGGGCGTCAAGCAGATCTGTTTTTAGACACAAAAACCTCTCGTTTCCTTACTTCTCGCCCAGAAAGGACAAGGAGCTCAACGGGAGCAGCTCAGCCGTCTACCCCGGACCCTCGCAAGCTTCGCCGCAGTCCTCCAAGAGACTTGACAAGTTCCTTCCCAACGGGGACCCTCCCGACGGAGATCGCCCGAGGCTTCCGGCCGAGACGTGCAGGGGCAAGGGAGACTACGTGAAGCTGTCATGGTTCGAGCTGCCGGTCAACTTCGACTCGCTGCGATCGTCGAGCATCTTGCGGCGGGAGCAGGCGAGGGCGGAGAGCGTCAAGGTGCTGCTCTACGACACGTACCACGTGTACCTCAAGGTCGGGGAGGACGGGGTGGCGCGAGAGTGCTTCTCGGCGGGTCTCGGGGAGGACGGGGAGGGGTCGACGGAGACGGAGAGGATGGGCAGAGCGGTGGAGCAGCTGTGCAAGGAGGAGGGGGGGCTGGCGGTAGAGCGATCGTCGTACGTGGACGTGCACTCGCGGGACGGGACGGGCTACAGCCGCTTCTTCCAAGCGAGGTAGGAGAGGGAGGGAGAGGGAGGAGAGGGGACTGATGAGGAGGCGCAGGAGGGAGGGAGAGCAGGCGACAGGGGCGATGGGGAAGACTTTGACGGGGAAGTACGTAGGGGGGAAGCTGAGGGTAGAGGAGGAGGGGGGGGAGGTGCGAGAGGTGGAGCTAGACAGGAGCATTCATCAGGCGATCAGCAAGATCCGCGTGCTGAGATATCAATTCTGAGATCAGAGGATGAGTTTGTCTTCTCAAGGACTGTTCAGAACGTTGCTTTTATAGCAACCGCTTTACTATGATGAGAAGAGGAGGGCGTTGAATAGTCATGCAGGATCATTATTTCTTAATTTGTTCCTTGATACTAGCTGTCTCGATATCATTAGTAGTTCACTTCAACGTTGCTTGCTCACCCTACAGCTCGCATTTCACGATTCTAGCCAACAAACCTGCTCGTTCTTCCTCTATCGTTTGTTTGCTCTCTCCCTATGTTGCCGTCCCCTACTCTTTCTCCTCCTCCCTCCCTTGCTGTCTCCCTTGCTGTCCCCTTCCTCATCCTCTACCTCCTTCCCTCCCTGGACTCTTTTCAAGTCTGATCCCTTCTACCGCTCCTCCCTGGACTCTTTTCAAGTCTGATCCCTTCTACCGCTTCTTCCTCCTTCACTGCTAACCTCCTCTCCTCTACCTCGAGTGATCTGATAGGGGGTCCAACCTTGGTTCGGCCTTGTGGTCTCAACCCTCTATCTTCACATGCACTGCTCCTGCTTCTGCTACGCTGCGCTGCACTTGCCTTTCTCTTTACACCAAGTCGCTGATCTGGCTGCTGTTCTCCGACCTTGTCAGCGGATAGCCGGAAAGCATCTTGTGAAGTTTGACTGAACAAACTAAAGCAGTCCCTGCTGTGTAGTCGTTCAACAGCTACCTGAAGCTTGTCGTTGTGGTCTTCTTCATCTATACAAGTCAACAAGTCAATCGTATGAAATGTTCTCCCTTCTCTTAATACACCAAGACACGCGTCACATCTCAACTGACTGGTAGATGTCAGTGAAGCCTTTGGTGAAGGGGGAATCTATCCGTCAACCATGACAGACTCAGAAGCTTCGAATCAAAGGACAAGAGCCTGAATTATTTGCAGATAAAGGAAGCATCTTCTTTCAACGTGAGATGTATCGAATTCCTCGAACAAGGATGAACTTGTCCATGAGGGGATCAGGTTGAACGAGAATCAATAACAGGATTATACTGCCCCCAACGCACTTGGCTCTTACTAGCAAGAAACTATCTGTGCGTGGAAGTTGAGCTGACAGCTATGATTTGATATGAACTACGAGATCGACAGGATTGTCAACCCCTAACATGTTTTCTTCATCAGCAGAACCTTGACCGATGTGAAACTTTGACATCAACGGCAGAGTCGATCACAACAAGTTCAGCAACGACCTGGCCACTCGCTCTACCTTTGAAGAGGGTCGGATGCCAACTGACCGCCAGGACCCTCGCGCGGTCACTTGCAAGTCTGACGCCGCTGGTGCTGGTCGGAGCAGATCGACTCTAACATGATCGTCTGGAACAAGCAGTCAACGCCTTTTGAACCATCGGATGACAAGATCGGATGAAATGTAAGCGGAAGATCGGTACATCGATGTTGAGGTGAGTAGCTGGAGGAGACAGGAATGGAGAAATTCGGTGTTGATATCGCTTGTGTGAGAGCTGGCAAGTCGAGTATAGAAAATTAATGAAAGTTCATAGAACTTTGACAGTGAAGTCAGGGCATTACAATCCTAGTCCTCGTCTTACAATCAAGCCTTTCAATCTTGATGAGAAAGAAAACTTGTTCAAGTAATTAACCCCTCCATTCCTCATTGTCTCTCAAACCTCAGCACGCGGATCTTGCTGATCGCCTGATGAATGCTCCTGTCTAGCTCCACCTCTCGCACCTCCCCCCCCTCCTCCTCTACCCTCAGCTTCCCCCCTACGTACTTCCCCGTCAAAGTCTTCCCCATCGCCCCTGTCGCCTGCTCTCCCTCCCTCCTGCGCCTCCTCATCAGTCCCCTCTCCTCCCTCTCCCTCCCTCTCTCTCCTACCTCGCTTGGAAGAAGCGGCTGTAGCCCGTCCCGTCCCGCGAGTGCACGTCCACGTACGACGATCGCTCTACCGCCAGCCCCCCCTCCTCCT